ATACATTATCTCCTCTAATCTTTACTAATTTCCACAACAGATAACAGTTAAAGGACATTGTATCCAAAGTGTATACTTTGGAGCTAATTCGTCGGTTCTTCCTATATATCAGGTAATTCACTACAAAATTTCATGTTTTGATTTATTTTTTGACACACGATACAAGTACATAGTCTATTACATGTGGGTATGGTCTATGGGGGAGGGGACTAATTCGCCGGTTCTTCCTATTATCATGTAATTCACTGCAAAATTTCATGTTTTGATTTTTTTTTGACACACAATTACAAGTACATAGTCTATTATACGTGGGTGGAGTTTATAGGGAAGAGGATAGTACTACTAAGAAGACTCCACGCGCGCATGCCTCGATCTGATACTCGAAAAGCCTCCTAACAATACAAGTAAACCTGCACAAACTTAACACTGAAAGTGTTGTTAGCAGGGTTCGAACCTGGGTCTTTTAGGTTGGATGCCAAAGCCCAAACCACTGGGCCATCCTTTGTTGGCAAGTTTTGATGAATATATATGCGTCCTCTCCATAAATTCCTCCCTTAATTTCGATATACTTTTACAATTTCCCTACTCAACATTTTGCCTAAAACATTGTGCGGGACATCTCTTTAAAAATTGTTAAAAATTCAATCAAACATACTGATTGAGTTCTACAGATTTTCATCGTTGCAACATTTCCATTCCCCCCATCACTATATTTTGGTTATTCCACCATTTCAAGTTTTCAACTTGTAGTCTCCAAACGCTCTCATTAATAAGTTATTTTTGCGGACTGGTAACACTTTATTATATGCAAGAAGAAAAAGGAATTTTCATTTTTAGAAGGGAAAACCCATGAAAGTAATAGAGACAAAATGATCATTCTAATCGACATAATTGACAACTCATAATTAATTTTACAAAACCAAAATTTACAAAAAGTTAAAATAAAAATAAAGGACAAAAGAAGAAGAAGAAAGGGGAATAGAAATGTTCCGCACAACAAAACAAATCAGAAATCATATAATCCAACCATGCAAATTAAACCCACATGCAGATGTTAATTTCTTTAATCCCCTCTTGTCTGCACTTATTTAAGCAAATCCAATATTACATTGCACTGTATTATTTGGACTTTATATGCACCTTAAATTGGTTTTCTTTATTTTCTCATTATTAATTATTATATGAAAGGATCACAGAAATTATAAACTGTCAAAATCATCAATTTATTGTCTGAGTACAGAATGTTTTGTGAGGGATCTGTACTGGAAAAAAAAAAACCCTACACATGATCGGGACAAAACAAGAGCATCTATATATTACTATTTCAATTTCCAAAGATATTTAGGCCCCACTTAAATCTTGGAATCTAGTATTTTGATTAAAAATTACTTAATTAATTCAGATACATATCTTTTCTAAGGAAAAAAAAACGAGGGATTACGAACTTAATTAAGAGCTAAGAAAAATATAAAATATAATAATGGACCATTTATCAAAGATTAATCTGATTTATTTCTATAACATAGTTGTATAAAGTCTATTTATACAATCATACCCTCTTTCTTGTACTCGCAAAAAAAAAAAAAAAAATACTCCCTCTGTCCCATAATTATTGTCCACTTTGCCTAAAAAATTTTGTCCCAAAATTATTGTCCAATTTGACTTTTTATGGATCAAGTTACACATTTGTCCTTAGTAAAAAATATTATCCATAAAATCTTAGTGGTTAAACAATTACTTATGTAGAGGTATATCTGGTTGTTTAAGATAAAATATAGTTAAGTTTGACCAAAAATAAAATCTTTTATTTTAGTAAAACTGGACAATAATTATGGGACGGAGGGAGTACTAATTGTATATAATTTGGTTGGGGAAATTTTTGGTCACGATCTCGAATAGACCTGGACTGCATAGTTCACGAACTTAATAATATTGGACACCGACACTGTTGGTTGAGAAGTTTAAATCAACCGTGTACGAGACTATATTCAATGGTATATTGACCTCTTTGTTTTTTCTACACTTTTGCAACAACTGAATCATTTCCACGAGCATTATTAGCTCTATGGTCTAAATTCCACTAATAAATTCTACTACTCCCCTTCCGTCTCAAAATTATTGTCAAGTTTGAGTTTTCATTTTTAATACAAATTAAACTAAAAGTGAAATATCAAATTAACTAATAATTTTGAGACATAGAGAGTAATAAATTTCCACGAGATTGGAAAAATTATTACTATAAACCATGTTTTTAAATAGGTAGAGAGTGTACGGATAAAATTTTTGATTGGTTTCGTTGTTGAGTTATCTCGCTAAGAAAAAATTAGTATTCCTCATATCAAATTAGTACAAAAACAATTTTACTAATTAAGTAGTAATAATGTTTTTGTCTTTCATTATACCAAGAAAAATAGTCTACGTAGACAGTGTCTATATCTGAACACTTCCAAAACATACAATCTAACAATTAAAGAAATAAATAATCACTGGTTTTATTCGAGACATTCCATGAACTGAGAACAACTGACTAATACTCTGGGCTGTAGCTAGTATTATGATCAGCCATTGATTACTTTGCGTCAAAACAAGAAAAGAATCAAGAACACAAAAAACAACATACTTCGTCGTTTAGTTGGTAGGTAGCATATGAACAAACCATGTGATTGCCAACTAATCTTTCGATTATCAACTAATTAAATTTTTTACGTGTCCTGAAATTATTATCCACTTTAGATTTTTATTTATAATATAAATTAAACTAAAATGAAAACTCAAACTGGACAATAATCTTGAAACAAATAGAGCACATCTTTTTTTAGATACGATCATTTTGAGACGGAAAGATTAAATAATTGTGAACATTTTGTTTCATTTCTCATTAAAACTTTCTACCCTTAAAATTTAAAGATATCTTCTCCTTTCTGCAATAATTTCGAGGCGATGATAATGTATTATAAACCTCTAGCGTCTTCTCTGATGACAGCAACGTATCCGAAACAAACATTAAAGATTACTTCAACCATTAATATGGTGTCTCTCTCCATCAACTGCTCTCTAGTCTCTTCCCTCTCTCATTTTCTTCTTCATCATTATCAAGTTTTTTGAGCCATTGTAGTAGTACAATATATTACGTACTGCTATTAAGGCTTGTGGGTCTTCCCTTAGCGTAAATGTAGTAGTACCTATGTACATCCCATGTTGTATGCTTCTTGGTGACATGAAAGTTAAGGGACCAATGCAAGAAATTAAGTAGCAAAAAACTCCAAATTCAACTTCTTCAAGGGAAAAGGATACTAATGCGAGTCGTAATTTGCGTACAAAAGTTAAGTTTGAAGTCTTTATCACATAAAACAGTATTGTCTCACGTAAAAAACAGTTAAGGATGAAATTTTAGTAAGATGTCAGTAACTTTTTATTGGGATGCTGGGGTCTTTTCGGTAATTTTGTTTTTTTTTTTTTTGAAAATAAAATAGTTTCATTTATATTTGCTGAAAATTGTCGTGCTGCGAATGACTGATGTTAATTACACAGAATCGGAGGACATCAAGCACAATATCACCATCACCAACATTTCTTACACTCCACATTTGTCCATTTTGAACAAAAATGACCAAATTAGTCTCTCTACCTTCAGCTTTGTAGATTGTAACATTGACTTTCTAACCCAAAGTACTTCTTACACATACCAATATTCACCAAAACAAATCTAGAGACGGAGGAAGGAGAATTGAAAGGACGTGTTTGCTAATTCCACCCTTGAAGTTCTTGGGATTGAGGCAACCCTTTTAATTCCTTGGATCATGAAAGGCTTGGAATTCAGGATTAAGGGCAGTAAAGATCGGGTCAGACTGATCCTAGCTAGCTAAGCTAAAAGCAAGGTGAAAAAAAAAAAAACCATGACCATGTGCTTGATCCAAATCTCTAATAAGGGGGCACCCTTCCCAAAAGGGTCTAACCTTAATTTTGTGGGGACCCCTAAAAGAAAACACTTTCAAGAAGATTTGACACATCTTAATCCCCCTATGACTAAAATAAGACCCCCTTCGAAAAGACAAGTGTTAAAACATATAAAAATACCATCCACCATTGCATGAATATTCTAACACTGGAATTTGCATGTTCCATCACCATATTTTCACATGGCTTCTGAATCCGTTGATTCTTCCTTAATACACCAAGGATAACACTTAAGGTATCATACGTACAAATCTGACCTGTTTACTCACATTGAGATGAGAGCATTCCCATTGACAAAATATGCAATTTGGCTTAAAAAGAATGCCAAAAGACCTGAATGAATGAGGTGAGGTAAGGAATATATTCCATTAGTATTCTTGGAGAGTTGGCAAGAAGATTCATTAGGGATTAAGAGTTTCTTCAAATAAATTTTTTTTGTCTAAGTCCACTTGACCAATCAAATGTCCTTATTATTGTAGCACTCATACAAAATGACGAGTCGTTTCATTAATAAGACACGAATAACATATGGAAGTCGGAATCAGAAAACACTAATTACATTGCGCTTACTTAGAAAAACTTATTAGAGACGGTCCGACACGGTTTTCTCTTAAGTCAATAGATTTTTTTCCCCCATGAAATTCCTTTGCAGAAGTCAATAAATAAATAAACGAATAGGTGACTCGTTCTGTATTCATTTCACATAAGCGTTCAGTTTCTTACCATTATTGGCATTAAATTAATGGCAATAAACAAAAAGTTAATGATGGGTGGATCATAATATGAAGGAGTGGTAGTTACAGAATACAGCAATGCAGGGACAATAGAACAGTGAAAAACAAGTCACTCTGAAAATGCACAGAAATTATAGACTGCTGCAATAATAATAATACTAAAAAAGACCATAATTTTGGTGACAGATACTTATCATCATAACAGAGCTAAGAGTGAAGAGAAAAAATCCTTGGAGTTTCAACTATATCATATATCCTTTTCTCGTTACCTAGTAATCAATCATATAGTTCTTGAAGATTGTGAAAAAGATGGGGAAAACTGGCAAATGGATAAGAAGCTTCTTGACTGGAAAGAAAGACAAAGAGAAAGAGAAAGAGAAGAATGGAAGTGTTCATCATCATCATCAGCAGCAACAGAATTCCGCCGTTGAACAGACTCCGGCAACTCCGATCACAATCCCGCCGACGACTCCGAAGGAGAAGAGGAGATGGAGTTTCCGGCGGTCATCTGCCACCGCGCCCGGTCAGAAGGATTTCGGTTCAGGAGATATGATTTCCACTACGCCGCCGTCATCGCAGATGGCCTTTCTGGAAACAGAGAATGATCATAAAAAACACGCCTTGGCTGTCGCCGCCGCAACGGCTGCCGCCGCTGACGCCGCCGCCGCTGCCGCCAAGGCCGCTGCGGCTGTCATTCAGTTGACCGCCGCTGCATCTGGGAGAACATCTGCAATTGAAGAGGCTGCTGCCACCAAGATTCAATCTGTTTTTCGTGCTTATTTGGTACAATACTACAATCCCAAATCTTTAAATTTGCTACATTTTGATGATTCAATCCATAAAAATTGAAAGGGTTCTGAATGATTTCATCTGGGTTTTTTTTTTTTTTTTCAGGCAAGGAAAGCTTTGAATGCATTGAAAGGATTGGTAAAGTTGCAAGCTTTGGTAAGAGGGCATCTTGTAAGAAAACAGGCAACCGCCACTTTAAGGTGCATGCAAGCCTTGGTTACTGCTCAGGCTAGAGCTCGAGCTCAAAGGATTCAGATGACTGAAGAATCAAATACTTCCAATCATAATTTGAAGCAATTTAATCATAGGAAATCAACCCAAGAAAACAGGTCGTGGAATTCATATCAAGTAAGTCCTGTTTTGTTTTTCCCAATTCTGGTTCACCAATTAAGTCAACTAGCTTGATTGATTGACGTGATTGATCATGTTCACATTTTGATAATTTGTTTAGAGGGTATTTGAGTAATGTATATATGGGTCATTTTTGAATCTAGGATTGGGACAGAGGAATGGAAGAAAACATCAAAATTGTGGAGATGGATATAGGTGATTCCAAAGGTAGCACAAAGAGTAGGAATAGTTACTCAAACAATGGACAAACAGACAGAATGGATCATCGGATGGCGACAATTCGGGCAAGTCCAAAGCCAGAACAGATCTCACCATCACCTTCTGCAGTAACTGATCTAAGTCCAAGAGCATATAGTAACCATTTTGAGGAATACTCATTCGGGACAGCACAAAGCAGCCCTCAGTACTTTTCGTCAGTTTCGAAACCTGATCCATCAGGCATTCCATATGGTTATGCGCGATCCGAATATGGGGATTCGTTGTATAACGATTATCCGTTCTATCCAAGTTACATGGCTAATACAGAGTCTTCTAGGGCTAAAGTTAGGTCACATAGCGCGCCGAAACAACGGCCTGAGTCATTCGAGAGGCAGCCGAGCCGGCGTAGGCCGTCCATTGAAGGAAGGAATGTGCCTAGGGCTGTTAGAATGCAGAGATCATCTTCACATGTTGGTTCTGCAGCTCAGAATTATCAGTACCCTTGGTCAATCAAGCTCGACAGATCGGCGATTTCGCTTAAAGACAGTGAATGTGGATCCACCACCTCTGTGTTGACTAACACCAATTACTGCAGATCCCTTGTCGGATTTGAGGTAAGTACACATTCTTGAAACTCTGATTTGACAAAAACAACTGTTCTTGGTTGTTTCTGATGTAATTTTAGAGTTTAAAAGTTTAAACTCTGTGAATGCAGGTACATGGAGGTAGGTATTAACTCCATAACTGCATTGAATCATGTTCTGCAAAGCTACAAAATTGCTGACACAGAAGAAGGAATGAAGGTGTAGCTGACAAATCCTTACTGATATTATTATTACTTGTGATGTAGTTTGAGCTCAAATGTAGATTTTTTCCCCCTCTTATTTTTTGTTTCATTTTTTTTCCTCATTTATTTCTTTGATAAAGATGTCAATCTCTGATCCCGACTTTGTATTTTGTAAGAAAAAAGAAAGGGTAAGAAATTAAGTTATTTGTAGGTGCATTATGTGTAAAGTTTTGATTTCCAACTTTTTAGGTACCGAAATAATTGTTTTGTTTGATGTACTAAAATCACCATCATGTCTTCTTTATATTTCAAAAAATCTTCAAAAGACACACAAAGCCCAAACGGAACATCAATCACTTTGGGGTTATTTCGTTTGGAGTTGTCAGCCACCGGAGGATCGGCGACGGAATCGGAGGTGGAAACCGGAGTTTCTGAAGAGACGACGAAGAAGAAAGGGATTTTTAGAATTTCATTTTCAACTCATAATAACTATTCCATAATCCATTTTTGACCTGTTGACCATATATTTATAGGCCACAGTTTACAAGTTTACAAAATAGCCCCTTAACTACTGAATTTGGGTAATTGAGTCCCAATTCGTGACAGGAGAACTGGGATTAAAAATAGAATTGGGCCTGAAGTAATGAACTGGGCAGTGGTTGTTGGGCTTATTCTAACCCATAGCTTTTGACTTTCTTCGAGCTTTTGACAGTTTGACTGACTCCAACATCTCTATTACTCTAAATGAAGGAGATTAGGAACAGAAATTCTGTATATTTTTCTTTCCGACCAAACCCTTGTGCGATCCCCTTCTTCGATTCCGGCAACCGCTATTTCGCCGACGAAATTGATATGAATTAACGTCAACCTAAGAATTTATGCTAAGATTAGCTCCCAATCGTCTGAATCTCCGGTTGAATTTGATCTTCGTAGCTTGATTTTCTCGTATCCAACCACCGACTAAACGTCCTCCTCCTCCCCCCATTGTCGCCGCCGCCGCCGCCGTTGTGGAGGTTCTGGCTTGCGATTAGTGGAGGCTACCGGTGAGTAATTATTATTTAATTTATTTTTAATTTGTGGAAAAGAATCCCAGAATCGGTTGTGAGTATGGCAGATGAGCAGGTGGTTAGCTTAGTATACTATAAATCCTCAGTCAAGGATCCGGGTATCCGTGGCGTATTGAGAATGAACAAAGATAGGTTTCTGTTCAATCCTAGTGATCCGAATTCGCCATTGAAACTCAATGTAGAATTCGGAACAATTACTGGACATAGATTCACCAGGCAAGAGGCAAAACAAGGTTCTAAACCACCCCAGTGTTTGCTTAATCTTAATTATGATCAGGGTGGATATATTTTTCAGTTTGATTCTTTCCCTGACCGGGATATCTGCAAAGATTTTGTTGCCGGAGTTATTGAAATAAGAAATGTTGAACAAATTAGTGCAGCAGAAATGGAACGACGGATTAATCTGCTGCAGGGGAGCAATGAGCTGCAGAAACTTCATAAGCAGTTTGTGATTGGAGGTGTTCTATCTGAAGCTGAATTCTGGGCAACTCGGAAGAAGTTGTTGACGCAACATTCCAGCAGAAATGTAGAACAAAGAGTTGCTTTAAGGAATGATATGTGGGAAACTGGAGTTGAGTTTAATTTGACACCAGAGATTATACTACAGATTTTTTCTGAGAAACCGCGGTTTGCCGAGCGTATCTAGATTTTGTGCCGGAGAAGATGTCCGAGAAGGAGTTCTGGACCAAATACTCAAGAGCAGAGTACTTCCATGGTACGAAAAATGTTGTTGCTGCAGCAGCAGAGGCTGCAGAAGATGAGGAATTCGCTGTGTTTTTGAAGCGAGATGAAGTGTTAGCTAATGAAGCTAAGAGGAAGATCAAACAGGTTGATCCAACATTGGATATGGAAGCTGATGAAGGAGATGATTACACGCACCTCCCGGACCACGGGCTATCATCACTTGTTGGGGATGTAAAGTCGGAGGTTTTGCATTCGCAATTTGAGCCCTTCAGAAGATCTTTCTCGCAATGTCTCAACCAGCATGCAGCCGTTGTTCTTCAAGGGAGAGTTGTAGATGTCGAGTCAGGGGATGTTACTGTTACTGCTAAATATTTAGCTGAAGCACTTGCCAGGATCAAACAGGCAGACTTAGCCAAAGATGTTTCTGTCGTGAATGAGATATCTCGTATGATCAGCATTGAAGATCTTCAAACACCTCGCGGACCTTCAGTTGCGCCGCTTAGCATTAAGGATTCCCGTGCTTACTTTGATTCTCGACAAGCCAATGCTTCGCGGACTGCAGGGTACTCTGGTATCTGCGAAGACCAGTTAAATTTTTGTATAAGTACTACTCTAATTGAGCCCATGATATCTTCAGATGTTGCTCTTAAGGTCTTTAAAACTTTGAATCATAGTATTTCATTCACCAAATTGAATGTAGGGAGGAACGTAAATGATAGTTTTCTGGATAGTTTGCCGAAACATACTAAGGAAGAACTGTTAGATCATTGGACATCAATACAGGAGTTACTGAGGCAATTTTGGTCTTCATATCCTAGTACCACCAAGTCTATCTTTTCCAAGGCAACCAAGATGAAGGATGCCATGTTGCAAATATATCCAAAGTTACAGGAGCTAAAGGAAACAGTGCAGTCTGAGCTACGGCATCAGGTCTCGCTCCTCGTGCAACCAATGCTGCAGGCCCTCGAAGCGGCTTTTGCACATTATGATGCTGATGTACAGAATAGGTCCTCAGGGAATGCAGGGAGATTGTCATGACATATCAGTTTTGACCAACAAGAGTAAAAATGTAGTCATTTTGAGGGGTCTATCTATTGCTTAGTACAAATTTCAAAACTCAATGCGAACTATGTGTTTGGGACAGAAGGAGTATATTAGAAGACATATTCCACAAGTTGCAATGGTCTCTAATGGCCATCTTAACACATTGTCTTGGATTTTTCTTGGCGAATTTTCACGGACTTAATTGATTTTAGCTTTGTGTATCGGTAGTCTAATCCTGTGCTCTGACTTGTGCTTTATCGGTAACCACACTATCTGAGGTGCTTATCAACCAAAACCAGGAAGTACTTTCTGGTAGTGAATGATGATGACTTTATTACCCATCACCATGACATGAACTCAACCAATCATTTCGTTGTAAAAGGGCCTTCAGTACCGTGGGCAATTTACGTACAACCAAGGCAAAAAAATAAGTAGTTGATTTGATCCAAAACTTTCGCCTCCTGGCCAATTTAATTCAAAAGAATTCTCAAAAATAAAACGTAGATAATTCAAAAATAAACTATCCTCCTTCGGATGAGGAGGGCTCTAATGAGAGTGGTGGGTGGATAGGCACGGCCAGTGACGACGGTCGGCATTTGTGTAAATGATTCTGCATTTCGACACTACATCGGTGGGAGTTTTAGAGTCGGAATGCCATCCAGATGCTGATGAGATTAACCATGACATCAAATCAACCAATCTTTACTGTTTCTGTACATTTTTTTGAATGATTCCATCACCCTTTAATCATAATCCCTTACATCTTAAAGCTTTGTGAATGAATTATGTCACGTCGCTAAATGTAATATCCAATTATTTTCAAAAGTAATGTTATAATCTAATGTGTAAACTGTAGCATCAATGAAACATCATTTTCAATAATACTAGTCTCGCTCACTTGAATTTTGCCTCACGATGATTCAACACTTCAATCAACCAAAGTTGATTAATCCTGCCCCCTATCTAATTCCGTCGAATTATTGGTCATCTTTTTTCACCATTCTTTTTTTTCTTCATCATTCATCAATAAATCAACCAACCTATGAGGCCTGAGGGTACCTCAATTATTAGCAGAAATTCTACAAGAATATACGTAGAAAGGGGTCCCCTGGAATCATTTTTTCAGATTCCATTGATCCGATATCAACAAAACAATGCTGTGCAGAGAACAGTGGTTGCACATCCGAAGGAGAGAACATGGTTCACATGGCTTGTCTTTAAATTCAGCTTTCATGTTTCATTCTCGTGTTTTTGCGTTAGTTGATCACTAACTCACAATTATTGATCTTAGTGGAGTATAACATCATTGATTCTTTTTGTGGAAGAAACCCTTTTCTCTTCTCCTCAAATAGATATGTTGTTGTCACTCATATAATATGAAAGTTCATGGAATGAAACTAATGTTACATACAACGATTCTAAAAATAAAACTCGTATTCTGAAAGTAAATAATTTTATTATGAATTGTGAGATTCGTGAGATCATACATATAGAGCTAGATAATTATAATCATGAGATCATGGCACAACATGTGCAAAAATAAATAAATAAAAGAAGTTCAAGTGAGGTCAACGCATAAAAGAAGCTATTTGTTAGATTTTTTGTAATCTTTATAATTTCTCCATTTCCAAAAGGATGAAAAGAGAGGAGGAGGATGTATGGGCTTTGGTGGGAAGTTTTGAGTTCGACATGTAATATATTTGAGTGATGGGCAATGATCAAATTGGCTTTAGTACCTGAATCAGCCTTTAGGTATTGTCACCCATAATAAGAAGTCTTCGAATTCCCTCCATATCTTCTTTCTTTTCGCACTACCTCCACACATATTCCCTACCATATGCAATTCATTCATTTGCTTTGCTAAACTTTGAGGTGATTGGGAGATCTTTCCTTCATTTGAATTCGATTCAATTTGACCAAGTTACAATCTAGTGGTCGTTAGGTTGTTGTCCTTTCTGATAATAGACTATGGTTCGATTCTCATCACCCTGCAATGAGGAAAATCACCTCTATTTATTTGAAATCAATTTAATAATTAACCTTATTTGATACCAAGAACCGCTTTACTTGATATGAATTTGAGGTTCTTCTCGACCGTGGTCTTCTTAAGAGCTAGTAGGTTGCAAATACTCTTGGAATTTGCCTCTCTTAAGTCCTTCTTCGATTTGATTCTTTAGAGCGCTGCAGTCTTCCGTCTTATGTCCGTGATCCTTATGAAATTCACACCATAAATGTTGTGATCATCTATGAGGGGGAGCAAGCATTGGTGGTGGGGCCTCCAACTCGTTCTTATGGATTTGTAATATCTCTGTTCGAGAACGAGTTAAAGGTGTGTACTCTGTACTGCTGAACTTGCACTTTTCTCGATCGTGCCCCTTGTCTCGATCATGCCCCTTGTTTTGCTCTCGGCCATACTCTGCCCCCGAGCCTTTAGCTCTGTTCTCGAGAATGGGCTTCTCGCGAATACTCAGAGTGTCTCTTGCTCGACGAAAATTCTCTTCTGCTCGAACTTCAGTTTCAACGACTGAGAAGAGTTGTTGCAAGGTATGTGGTGGCTCCTTTGTTAACTTTTGTCTCAAAGTCGCGGGTGCCCCATATGGGTAAAGGTCATTGGTGAAGGTTGCAAATGATTGTCTCCTCAGATATTCCTTCTACTTGAAGCTGTTCCTTGGTGAAGCGGCAATAATACGCTCCAATAGACTCTTCTCGATCTTGCTTGAGGGACATCAACTGTGTAATTGTCTTACGAATCTTTTTTCCTTGGAAGAACCTTGTGTGGAATAAGGTTCCTAACTCATAAAACGACCGGACACTCCTCGGAGGTAGTGTTCCAAACCAAAGTTGTGCTTGTCCCGTGAGATAGGTAGGGAACGCCTTGCACATGAAATTGTTAGGAGCATTCCTCAATCTCATTGCATTCTTAGAAATCTGCAAGAATACCATAGGATCGGTATCTCCTCCATAAGCCTTCAAATCCGGAAGTTCAAACTTCTCGGGCATGGGTGTTTCTCGGATACGTTGGATGAACGGACTATCATCTTCCTCCTCACCTCCTTCAGATCCGAGAACCTTTCGTAATTGTTCCTCGATGGTTGAATGTACTCGAGGCGGTGGTAAATTGACTCGAGGGGGACGAGTTTCTTCTCGAGTTACAAGGTGATGTCCTCGAGAGGTGTCCCTAGGGTTTGGCTCACCCTCTTTTGAGAAAGTACCCAGATTGTCGACCAAGACCTGTCGTTGGTTGCTGTCGAGTTCGTGAAAACTCTTCACAAAATATTGGAACTTGTTGAACAAGGTGGGTTGAAATTTGAAAAAGGCCTCTATAAGGTTTTGATCAAATAAACCACCAGACGGCCTGTTAGAGGATGGCCCTGACGAAGTTGCCTGCTTGTCTTTTTCAGCGGCAGTAGCAAGGGTTTGTTGTTTTTCTTGCGCCATTATTATGTTGATGTTGCGCAGCGTAAAGCACCAAAAAATTCCAACTTCGCTTCAAGAAATTTATTTGGTTGTAAGGACCAAACAAATCGGTCCCACTGATTTGATAATTTATTTGGTATCAAGTTCCTTGCCCCTAGGGCTTTTTCCAGTTTGTGCCCCGAGTACGTTTTCCTCGTTGAAGGCAACCCCGAGGTGATTTTCCTCATTGCAGGGTGATGGGATTATTCGAGAGGGTTGGTTTTAGAATTGTAAGGAGGGGTTTTACCCACATTTAAGTGGGGTCTACTGGAGTGATTTTTTTTTTTAAAAAAATGTACCTAGGTAAGTCTTAGAATTATAAAATCTACTTTATTGATTATCAAAAAAAAAAATCTACTTTATTGAACTATAATTTAGGTTGAAGAATCTGATGAACCTGAGACCAATAGGAGAAACGTTGGGAGCTAATTTTCCTAGGTTTCCTCTATGAATGAAAAAGTTTTAGCTAAGTAAACTATTTTTTTAGGTAAATGGTAAATTGCATTTCATCATCAAAATTGGATTCAAACTTTATACTTGAGTTTGCATATTTTCTACATGAAACTATTAATATGGGACGAATGGAGTATTAAGAATTCATAACGACTCGAGATTTCTATAATGAATCACTTACAAAGAAATTAAACATTTTAGTAACCTAGTGGTCGATGGCGGCAGAACTGGTGAAGTGATAGAACCATTACTACAGAATCTCCTTGATAACTACAGTCTCGCATCTATAATGAAGGCGCAAATGGTAAATTAAAAACACATTTTCGATGTAAAGCTCCCCACGTTTTTACGACATATATGGTGCTTTAGAAAGGTGATTTGAAGATAATTACTGATGATGTAAGTAGAAAAATCACTATCATGCAACTAAACCAATTGCTTTTAATGTTCTCATCATCATTAATTCACCAAGATGATCAGAAATAGTTGAAATTGAAAAGCATCACTCGTGACGCTTTATTGTTTGATACTTTTGGAATAATTTAGTGAATAATTTAACTTACTGAAGAATGATTCGTAAACCCAATTATTAATCAAATCTTGATTCAGATGAGATAACATTTTGACATTAACTACCATAAAGTTAATTAATAATGCTGTAAATTCGTTGCCACCTTCTTCAATCCAAGCATTCTTACTGTCATTGTAAGTGGAAGTTGGAAGGAATGAGAATGAAAGGGAAATGCAGCACCTTTCTTGAAAGTAAATAATTAATGAGCAGTCTATTCCGGCTGTCATAACCACATATCTCCGGCGACCAATATAAAACTACTTATCTCTGAATAATGTTCGAGATTACATTTACGTATTTCTGATGTGGTACAACGTCTTCAATGAAGAGTTTCTCTTCTTGAAAAGTTAGCGGAGAGAAAATAGTTACGAAGTTTATATCATCTTACGTGATTTTATGAGATTAAAATACGTTACATGTGAATTATTTGTTCCGTTTTATACTAATAATTTACCTCAATAGATTAAAATAATTTGGAGTATGTAACAGATTATTAAAAAGAGACGTAAATTATTATTACCAAACGAACATAGTTACAAGATATTGAATGCAATTAGATTAAGGTCTGTAACACACCCCCCTAACATTGATCCGATTTCTGATACGACTTTCTAAAGTTTACGATGGTTCCAAAGTTGATCAATTATAATTAATGTTCAACAATATGTGAGACTGTCTGGTACAATAACAACATTAGACATTCAAGGTTACGTGTATACTAAACCTAAAAACTTTTACAAAAACTTCACCTGATCGCGGAATGTTCCTGAGGACTTGATGCACTGGTAATTATCAGTATAATAATAGATACGATAAATATTTTGGAACAAAAAAAGTATTAATATCGAACATGTTGACGGTAGAAAGGGTTTCCAAAAATATCCAAATGGTAGGAATTTTTCGGTTCATCATGATGTCAACTTGGTAAAGACCAAACCAATACTTGAAAGGGAAAAAGTTTTGTTGCCGTGTTGCGCTTTATAGCTTTAACACGGCCATATGATCAATAATTCCAATTAAAAATACAATTAAAATCTCACAAAATAAAGTTGCAAATCTTTAATTTATGCATCACAAGAAACTCATTAGATTAACCAAAATCTTACAACCACCACGTGTCCTGTTCACATACCTTTCTCCACTTGCAAATACCTCCAACACATACATGCCACGTTGGCGGCAGCACGGAGAAGCAGCCCTAATTTCCTTGAAATCCACCACCACCATGTACATGATACCTACCGGCTACAACTGAGAGAGAATTATGGTGACTCCAACACCCTATATCTTGAAATTATTCTTCCATTTAGATTTTTATATTCAGTTCAAATTGTGTTAAAAATAAAATTCAAACTGAATAATAATTTTGCGATAAAGAGAATACTAAAAATGAAAAAGAGTCTTACCATTAACTCATATCTTATTTATCTATGACAACAATTTATTAATTATCCTCTCATTGCCATCAAAAGAGAGTTCCTCTTGGACAATGTACATACTTCTTCTAGGTTTGAAAGATACTTTTACTATACATAAATGAAGTTGGCTCTTACATTTTCTTCAATCTAGTACGTCCCTTTCCTTTATACCGCGAGCCACAATTGTTTACTGATATGAATACGAAAATATTGTTACAAAGGAGGGGGAAAAAAAGGATCATAATTTGAGACAAAAAGAAGTTAATTTTTAGGGTAAATTATATTTTGAGATCAAGAGTGGAACAATAAATACAATCGAGCATATTTGGTTTGACCATACATGTTTCAAACTTAAAAAGGCAATAGATATTCTCAAAATTTGCTCTCGAAGCTACAGAGCGCAATTATAACGTTTAAGAAATTGGAGTCATTCGAGTTTAGCAGTGTTTCTCAAACCGCAGGTTTAAAACCACATATCATTTTTTCCTGGACGACATTCTTCATTAAATTCCCATCGTCAACCTTAGTGTCAACTCAAATGAAACATCGAATGTCCACTCCGATGTTATGCGATGTAATAACAATTCTTCCCGTCTTATTTTCCTACTGTACTTTACTATTATTTCATCTATCTCAAAATTATTATTCACTAAAAATGAATATAAATTGAACGATAATTTTAAGAAAGAATGAGTATTATTATAAAATTAAAATATGGGACAGAAGAAGTTCTAGTTACAATTTGATACCTCAAGATATAAACAATCAAATTCAGTGAGTGGAGGAAGACGAATCCGTCAATCAGATTGATGAAATTGTCTCACCAAATGAGTAGTACTGTTGTTGTCTATGCCGGTCATAAAGTTCGTTGACTCCTTAATCTTTTGCCACGTATCAGTCAACATATAAGGTCCCTGCAATATGTTCACCTGCTGACATCATCATCCCACTCAACACAAAAAAAATATATGTATAAATAAAACTATACCTACACTCCACAACCATATGTTACAAATCACTCCATATGATCTCTCTATATATACTCTCAAGCTTCTTCATTCCCTCCAACATCAATTCAATAATCAATACACATGCAAATATCTCTTCTTCATTGCATTCAAGTTTAATTTCTGCATCAAATTAGATTATTTGTAGCATTTTGATAGTAACGTTGTAGTTCCGTAGATTAAAATATTTCGTTCGTATTACCAAGAAAAAAGAGCCATTTTTGTTGCGCTTTTCATCTTGATCATCCTAGCTCAAAAATTCTTTGTTTTAATTTTGCTTGAAACATGGGAAATGCTGATTTTCAACCTCCTCAACAGTATGGCCGCGTGGAAGTACCACCGCCAAAACCCTTTTTCAAGTCACTAGCAGTGTCTGTGAAGGAGACACTATTTCCTGATGATCCTTTCCGGCAGTTTAAAGATCAGCCATTTTCCAAGAAATGTGTTCTTGGGTTGCAGTACTTTGTGCCAATCCTTGAATGGGCTCCTCGTTATACCTTTGAGTTCTTCAAAGCTGATTTGGTTGCTGGAATTACTATTGCCAGTCTTGCTGTTCCTCAGGGCATAAGTTATGCTAGATTGGCCAGTTTGCCACCGATTATTGGGCTATGTAAGTCATCTTATTATTTATTGGAATGAAATTTAGTGCTCTTCCCAAAATACGATAGATACAATGAATTCAAGTTCGGTGTGATTACGGTGAAAAGGGATAAACACCTTTACGTTCCAAGTTTTAAGAAAAATAATTGGTAGTCATGTAATTTCAAATGTATTATAGCAGTTACTGAATCATTTCATCAAATAAATTTATGTTATGTCATTACTCTTAACTTTTTTCTACATGTGATCTTTTTTTTTCTTCGTTGTTCTTGCATGGTAACGAAAAATGATTAATACGGCTCATTGTGTATTTATGTGTGGGTATGTTTTGGTTGCAGATTCAAGCTTTGTGCCACCATTGATATATGCTCTTTTGGGAAGTTCCAAGGATTTGGCTGTTGGAACTATAGCTGTACCTTCATTGCTCATAAGCGCAATGATGGGAAAAGAAGTCCATCCAGCTGAGAACCCTAAGCTTTATGTGCAGTTAGTCTTAACAGCAACTTTCTTTGCTGGCGTCTTCCAAGCTTCTTTAGGCTTGTTAAGGTTGGTTAAATTTCTTCTTCAATCTATCCCAAAATAATGGATGGAGACCATTAATTATTCATTAAATAAATCCCAAATATTCTAAACCTCATTCGAAATAAGACCATGTGTCTCATCTTTGAATACAAATCGTGTTTATTTAGGGATGTAACGATTTTATTGAATAAAAATACGATTACACTTAAAAATACATATTTAACTAATTTTAATGAAATTATATCGTTTTACTGATTAGACACTAATAGTATAGTTGGTTAATTTATGAAGCATTACATTAGCTCAATTTGTGTGTTCATACTATTTAATTTTGTTTTGGTTTTATAGGCTTGGATTCATTGTGGATTTCCTATCACATGCCACAATAGTGGGATTTATGGGAGGAGCCGCCACAGTTGTGTGCTTGCAGCAATTAAAAGGAATTCTTGGACTTGTTCATTTCACTCATGAAACTGATGTAATTTCAGTGATGCGATCCATTTTTACCCAAGTCCACCAGGTAGTTAGTTTTATACATATTTCCCTTCATTAATTACTTTTTCTTTCATTAATAAATAATAAAATTTTCCCTTTCCCCTGTACAATTATCATCATTTCTGTTTTCTTTTTCCTTTTTCGGAGTTAACAAAGTTCACTTTTACTTCTCTTTTTATTAACTTAGTATTACTTTTACTCAATTGGTTATTGATTTTGACAGTGGAGATGGGAAAGTGGAGTCTTGGGTTGCTGTTTTCTCCTTTACCTATTCACAACAAAGTACTTTGTAAGTTGATCATATGCAATTTCATTTACAATTTTGCTTTTCCATCTCAAAAAAAAAAAATCATATTTATTGTATTATTTTGATTCAAAAAAAAAAACGTGATTTTGGTTTTAGAATGAAGCCATTGACATTTGACATATCGTTTTTTTGTTTTGTTGATGTGGATGAATCAGAGCAAGAAAAAACCAGTCTTCTTTTGGATAAATGCTATGGCACCTCTTACTTCAGTCATACTGGGAAGTGTCTTGGTGTACGTTACTCACGCTGAAAACCATGGAGTTGAAGTGGTAATAATTAATTACTACCCTCTACCATTTGTCATGATGGCTAAAAATTCCGGATTTTTTTTTTTCCTATTCCAAAATTATTGTCTTGAAGAAAATTAATAATATTAATTCGATGAATTGAATTGTAGATTGGGCACCTGAAGAAAGGATTGAATCCACCATCTTTGTCGGAGTTGGCATTTGGATCTCCATACCTTATGTTAGCTCTCAAGACTGGAGTTATCACTGGGGTCATTGCTTTAGCTGTAAGTATTACTCGAGTGGAGTAGGATTTGTGTCATGATGGTAATATTGTTTTCATTTCAAGAATCTAACACACATTTATAAGTATTAGAAAATTATTGGGCCCGTGTTATCTAGTAAACATCTGTTATTATAAACGTGTTATTTTTCAAGTCAGGTGTATGTGGTATATGTGTATCGTATCACAAATTGTCATCCTTAGCTAACATTTGTGTTCTACTTATCGGTGGCTTTCAGGAAGGAGTTGCAGTGGGGAGAAGTTTTGCCTCATTCAAGAACTATCAAATCGATGGAAACAAAGAGATGATTGCTTTTGGAATGATGAACATTGCTGGTTCTTGCACTTCCTGCTACCTTACCTCAGGTATACATATCAACTTGTACCTTATTTGTGTTTTAAAGAATTTCCCTTTGCCGACCTCGTGATAATAGCAATTTACGCTCACCATCTTATCCAATCCTCCAATCTGTATCAACTTGCTCCTTAATTGTGGATTTTGCGAATTTCTGAAGTGTGTTTGAGTATGATTTCCTAAAGGGAATTTGAATTTTGTTCTTGCAGGGCCATTTTCAAGGAGTGCAGTGAATTTCAATGCGGGATGCAAAACTGCAGTTTCCAACATTGTGATGGCAGCTGCTGTGATGATAACACTGTTATTTCTCACCCCTTTGTTCCATTACACTCCTTTGGTTGTACTTTCTGCAATCATCATTGCAGCCATGATTGGCCTCATAGATTATGAAGCTGCCATTCACCTTTCAAAAATCGACAAATTCGACTTTGCTGTCTGCATCAGTGCATACATCGGCGTGGTCTTTGGCAGCGTAGAAATCGGCCTAGTCATTGCTGTATGTAACACAATTTCCCCTAACATTGTATTTCATTATTCAAAAATCAAAACTACCTACAGTTTGAGCTTCGAGCTGACAGAAAGTTAATGCATGGTTCAGGTGGCAATATCTCTTCTAAGAGTCATTCTATTCATAGCAAGGCCAAGAACAACTCTTCTGGGGAACATTCCTAACTCAATGGCTTACAGAAGCATAGATCAATACCCCGCTGCAATTAATGTCCCAGGGATTCTTATCCTCAGAATTGAAGCTCCCGTGTACTTCGCCAATGCAAGCTACTTAAGGGAGAGGTAAGTTAAACAAATGAAGCAAAAATGCTAAGTAAAAGCTGCTAAGTAGACATTTCTTGACAAGTGAAATGATGAAGTTTTTGTTGATGCTCTCAAAATAGGATCACAAGATGGATTGATGAGGAGGAAGACAAGCTGAAGAGTTCAACAGATGTTGAACTGCAGTATGTCATATTGGATTTGAGTGGTAAGCAATTACTTAGATGAACCAAATGATAACTAAATAAAGAACTAGAAAAGTTGATTCACCATCTTATATATAGTCCTAACAATATGCATTTTGTTGCAACAGCTGTTGGCACCATAGATACTAGTGGAGTAAGTATGATTGAAGAAGTAAAGAAAAACATGGACAGAAGATGTCTACAGGTACAAATTTTGTACTTCAGAAAAGGTTTCATTTACTAACCATGGATGTCTGATATAGTAATAATCGCTAATCATCGATTCTGTATTTGCTTCCTGATCAGCTTGTATTAGCCAATCCTGGAAGTGAGGTCATGAAGAAGCTGGACAAGTCCGATCTAATTGAAAAGATCGGTAAAGAGTGGATCTTTCTGACAGTTGCAGAAGCAGCATGCGCATGCAACTACATGCTTCACTCTTACAAGCAGAAAGGCAAGATAACTGAAAATAATTCATCAGATCAAATGGTTTAAAGCATGCCCCTGAAATGCAGGGTAGACAACCATCTTACAGATGACAAATAGACCAAGGAGGCGTGAAGCCAAATATTCCAGAAAATTTTATTAGCTAATTAACCAAATGCTACAAGATGTATGAGCAATTTGTAGTTCTAATTTTATGCCCTTCACTTCTACAATCTCTTGGGGCAAAAAATCTGTGTAAGAGAGATAAGAAAGGACCGTGCCAGATTCTATCTTAAGGACCATTTCTTGCAGATCTTTACCCTTGTAACTTTTTCAGAACTTCGCAACTTTATAAAATTTAAGAATATTGGACAGACCTCTAAGCTTTTGAATGATTCAATAAATACACAGTAAAAGATAAAAGAGGGGAAAAGAAGACAACAGGCAATGCAATGATTGCCGCAATATTAAGGCATTAACCAGACTATGACTATCTAAACATAAAGCATAGCTAAGAATCATAGTTGTAGTTGGAGACTGAAACCAAAAATCTATATTACAGCCGCGTACAACATACTGCAAAACTACAAAGAAACATCAAGGGCTTTTAACTGGAAAAGAAACAATTATAAATTGATATTAAAATACAATCTCTCAAAGATCAACAAACCATCTCAAGCTGAAGAAGAGGTAGGCTTTATAATACCCTCTTTCGATCCACAAGATGCATCCAAGAAAAGGCTATCTGTGCCGATTGATGAGATCAAAGACATACAAGCTCTGCCTTTTAATCACAGAAATTGGATAAAACATTTCTGCCCAGGGATATTTGCCAGGGAAGAATAAATAAAAACCGAACTACGCTTCCTTGAATATGCGTGGAATAAGCTCATGCGCACTGATGTCTAATGCCACCGGATCCCTGGAAAGCAAAAACAACTTTATGTACATGTTTAATGTCGATGCCAGAGATAAGGCATCTGGTCAAAAGGACAGGCAATATGTCTATTGACAGTTTAGGAAAGGCGATATAAGTTTATAACCAAAACTAATTGATAAGATTTCGCTTTTTAGAATGAAAAATTCCAAATGGCCATGACAATTTTAGCCTTATCCTACAGTGGGTTTGGTTACACAGAACATGGCGTCGCCATCATGTTAAATCTAAAATGTTGGCACTTAGCAATGAAGAACAAACAAATACACAAACAGGGACTAACTAGCATGGCCTCATTGTTAATTGTCTAATTAGAGAGAGGAAGGGGGGGGGAGAGAGAGAGAGAGAGAACCTGCATAATATTTGTCCATTCTCAGTAGAGCTAGGAACAAACCATAACTTGCGAATGGAAGGAGTTTCAAATTGAACGAAAAACCCATCATTTTGTCCATGCTTCCATTTCCTGGACCCTTGTCCTTTCCACACCTGCAACCAACACAAAGCAAAAGAAAAAACACATACTGTGATACTACTATTAAAATGGTAAGCAGAAGTGACACAATAGAAGGAACAAAAATTTAATGCAGCAAACTTGTCAATGAGAAAAGGCAAACAAACTACTAATGCTGTTCCATATTTGTCAAATCTAGAAGGAGAGCTTAGGGCAACGCTCATGGAGCTTTATTTCCTTTTGGCCTTTTGGGGGATAACAACCCCCAAGTTTCAAAGCCAGAAACTAAATTATTAATTAACAGCCTAAGCGGAAGGATAACAACATGAATGTCTAGCCAGACACTAAAGCGGCAAAATCGTGTGTGTGCAGACCAATAACTTCCACATGTAGGACACAGAAATGCGAATGAATGCATGATCTAACCAGCAGTTCCCTACACTCCTTTGTCTGTCTTCTGTGTACTGTGCCATATCATCTCTACTAGACAATTTCGAAGCAAAATGAATGAAGAATCCATTACCTGAGGGTATGATATAATACTCTTTGGTGTCACCAAGCAAGCAGCTCTAGCAACAGAATCTACAGCATACTGTCTGAGAAATGAGAAGCAATCGCCATGTGTATGGGGAGATTCAAAAGCCTGACATCAAGGAAATTAAAAGTTCAAAGCCACAGGCGCATGCGATTAACATAAATGGACTAAATTCCTACAACAATTACTGGAGACCTGGTTTTTTACCTTTTCAATATTGACCACAGGAGCATATTTTTCAGTGTCAGTCTTTTCCTTATCAAGAAGAAAATAGAATTTCGCATCCACCTTAGAAGTTTCATGCCATGATTTAATGGCCGTCTCCATTGTTTCAACCAGGAAAGAGAAAATTTCTTTTGAACTCTCGTCAGCTCCACCTTTTCCTGACTACAAAAAGACAGTAATCAATTTTCATTCCAAATGTCTGAAACTCGATCATTCTTATGAGTACGGCGGCTAAGGTTCAAAAGAAGCTCACACACCATGAAAATTTTAGAACACTACACAAGAAAGATTATGTCAACATAAAAGAGTTAAATCGATTGGACCAACAAATGACTAGAAAGGCTTTATTTTTACAGCCTGAAGAGGATGATATTCCAAAAAGTCATAGCTTGATTTTTTGCCTCAAAAATTTACTCTTACCAGTTCCAATTTCACCGAGTCCAAATGCTTGGCCATATCAACATTTGCTTTCAAATTTTCCACTTCTTTAGCTTGCTTTTTATCTTTATCCAGCTGTGAAAGCCTCTTGATCTTTTTTGACACCTCTGAGCTCTTGGGATTGTACTTCAGAGCCATCTCAAATGCAGCCAAGGCCTGCATCAATTAAAATAAAAGAATTATCTAGAGCTGATTCTTTATCCCTGTCAAATTTCTACTAAGACCAGGAAGAAGCCCTATACATACATCATCGTATCTTTCCATAGCCTCTAAGACACACCCTTTCCTGAAGTAACCCTGCATTTGCAATCAAATTGTATTCTCAGTTTTAAACACGGATATGTAGTAGCATAGAAAAAAACAAAATACATACATAAGAATGGGGCTTGCCTTTTCCCAATCTGGTTTCAAACTGATAGTTGTCTCCGCATCGACAAGTGCTTTATTAAGCTTAACCAAATGCAGGAATGCAGCAGCACGGTTGCTAACAAGGAGAATAAGCAAATAATGAATAACAAATACGGATTCTATTCCAGTCAAAAGCTGGGCAACTTCCATCCACAAACAGGATAACAAGGAACAGGACACCATAAATGAAAGGAGATGTAATTGTGGAATACAAAATAGCTAGATTAACCAACAAATTTTCAAAAGAGAACCTTCATAAATAGCAGTTTTACTTAAAGCACAGTTAAATACATAGAAATACTTTTCAATCCATGACACTTACATATGGCATTACCAATGCATTCAAACTTCACTGACTTACAATTATAAGGAAATGACAAACCCAATTGGCAGGTTCTTCCGAATTCCTTAGCATTGTCATTATGCACTAGATTCATCACAAATTCCCTACTTTTTGTAACCAATCAAACAGAACGATGGAAACAAGTAAAACCTCCAGAACAAAGCCATAAATTTTTTTAGCACTTGATTGTTGCACTAACTCTAAATATCAAACAAAAAGGCAAAAAAATCGAAGTACAATTACCTATAAAGAGTGGGATTATCGGGGTCTTTCTTGATGGCCTGAGTATACAGAGCAGCAGCTTTGAGATAATTCCCTGATTTGAAAAACTCATTGCCTTGATCTTTCAATGATGCTTCAACTTTTGCTTCTGATTCCCCCATTTGATTTCCCTTCTGTAAGATTCCGCTACTTTTTTTGCTGGGTTTATGTGGGGTTTAATGCTATTTTAGAGGGTTTTGTGAGAATGTTCTTCGGAGTTTTGCAGGAACCAAAGAGCATCAACGATTGATTTTCAACTTATTTTTTGCAGCTGATTTGGAAAGCCGATTTGTGGGTTCACGGGCTGATTTTCTAATGGGCCTCTTTGGTCTTTTCTTCTTCTTCTTCCTAAATGGGCCTAAAGTGCAACATAACAATATTTTTTGGTCTGATTTTATAAAACAATTTTTTGAAGAATTTGTTATGCATTTAAAAAAAAAAAAAAGTGTTTCCCGTTTCTGTTAAACAAACTTACAATTTTGTGTTTTTTCTTTTTGGTTTTTAAAAACCCTTAGGCTCTGTTTGGTTGGATTGAATTGGACCCAAGAATTGGAATTGGAGGCCCTCAATTCCAATTATTATGTTTGGCTGAAAAAATAGGGGTTCCGAAATTAGAATTATAATTCAAGACGAGGCTCAATTTTTTATTTTCAATTCTTTTGTAGGAGTAAATAATTGCAATTCGAACTCTATGGGCTTTTAAAAAAACGCAGGTCACATACGGGTCGTTTTTCGGGTTATAACGAGACAGGTTGAGCTTTTTTTTTGGCTTTTTTTTTCCTTTTTTTTTTGCATTTTGTTAAATTAACATATGTTTTTATTTATGGTACAAACAAAGTGTACATCATATTAATAATTATTAATAAGATCTATATATTAAAATTAGTATTCTTTTAACAAAAACTATCAAATGTATAACGACACCCGTAATTTATTTTAAAAATGGATGGTATTAATTATAGGTTAACATTTTTTTATCAAATGTATTTTGAACTATACTTGAAATTTTTTCACTAAAAATTATGTAATCTTTCAAGAAGTCGAAATATATATTATTCCATATGTAATTATATACTAAAAATAAAAAATAATTAATTAGCACCATAATCTATACATAAATGAATGGTCTTTACTTTCAACTATATAAAAATTTTACACTAAAACCCCAAAAAAAAACTAAAGATTAAAAATTTATGAAATAATAAAAAGGAGAGGAACAAGGATGTTCTACATGTTACTTGTGAGAATTCCAATCATCACATTCATACTTATGTAATAATAAAAAAAGATTTTCCACAAGTATGTATATATCTATAAATTATAAAATTGATATATATTATTCAAACAACAAAAGTTCTAATATAAATGTATATGATAAATTTATTTTGTTATCTTATATATGTAAGTAATAAATTACTTTGATATATAAAATTAAGTATTTATTTTATTCAATGAAATAAAGTACTAAACTATAGTTAGATAATAAAAAAACTAATTCTAATTCTAGATTTTATAAATTTATAAGGATCCAAACACAAGAATTGGTATTAGAACCTTAATTCTAATCAATTCTTAAGATCTTCCAAACGAAAGAATTAAGATTGAATTGCAATATTAATATCTCATTTTCAATTTATCAACTTTGTTTGAATTAGCCAGAAGATAATCAATCCGGAAGCAAGGACCGAAGGATCTTCTCTTTGAAATTCTTTATTTGTGTACTTGATCAATTATTGATCTGTCGCTTTTTTTTTTTTAACCTCAGCTTGCAAATTGACCATTAAGCTTAATTTTTTTGGTTTAGCCTTTAGGTCCAAATCTATAGTAATCATCAGGACGTAAACGCACACGAAAAAGTAATTAATTGAGTAATAAATACACACACACACACATATATATATATAGTACTCCTTCCGTCCCATAATTATTATCCAGTTTTACTAAAATGAAAGATTTTATTTTTTGTCAAACTTAACTATATTTTACCTTGAACAACCGGATGTACTCCTACATAAGTAATTTTTTAACTACAAAGATTTTATGGATAATGTTTTTTACTAAGGATAAATGTGTAACTTAATTCATAAAAAGTCAAAGTGGACAATAATTTTAGAACAAAATTTTTTGAGCAAAGTAGACAATAATTATGGGACGGAGGGAGTATTATATATACTACATGCATATTGTATATAGTTGATGAAATCATAGGTTGAGATTAGACCTAGATTTTTGGTTCAACGACCTACTTGATCAATTGGTTTACAGCTTGCTGTAAGCTAATATGAAAGTTAAAATAAGCTAAACTAAGGTATGATTTTAGTCAAATTCAAGGCAAATTAAGTTAAATTATTGTCTGTTATGAGATACAGCAGGCATAAAAGAGACATTTCAAGCAGACAAGAACTAGAAAACTTTCACTTTCCGCAGCAAAATGTACGTACGTAGGCAAGTGAAGTTCATTTAATTTGGTCAACACCTATATAATTACGTAAACTATTTCTTGCGTATATTATTCAATCAACGATGTAATTAATATCAAAACTATTCATCTCCCTTAAATGTTTAAACTGTAAATAAAAAACAAAAAATGAATAAATATAATTTAATTTACTTCATTTTTTTTAATTCGTAAACTATTTCTTGCGTATATTATTATTATTCAATCAACGATGCCCGATTGAGCAATGTACGTACTGTAACTTTTGTGTTCCAGCACCAGTAAGAAGCTGAGAACGCAAAGTGGGAGACAATATGCGACCCAGTTAATTACCAAGAGTTGACGAAGCCTTTAACAATTTGGTTTATTCACAGTGAAAAGCGTTAAATTGAAAAAAATAAAATAAAAAATAAAGCACCATAACTTTAATTAGTTTTCTTCAGGAAACAAAAATATAAAATGAAATAAATAAATTCAGCTTGATGTAATTAAAGTTTACTTTCCGGTCAGACCAGGTCTCTTGTGTTTGGTAATTGACTTGAGAAAAATCAATGCATGAAAATTAAAACTAGTTTTTTGGAGAGGGAGTAGTATTTGAATCGATTTTAGACCATAATTAGAAATCACAATAACCTGAGCATAATTTGGACAAAGACCTTGATGGAACTGACTGTTCCTCTTCTGACCTAGAACCACATTTTGATATATGGATGCTAAACACCACTAACGTAACATTGGATTAGTTGCATTGACAAAGATAGTTGGAGAATTATTTGTTAATTTTTTTTTGTGTAATTATGTATTCTATTTTCTTGTTGTGGTGTGACATTGTAATTATGTAATTATGTATTGTAGGTTCTACAATACAATATTCCGTTATATATACAAATTGGATATAAATTTGTAAATATTCTTCATCCTTCATCAAGAAGAATCTTCTTCTTCTTCTTTTCTGAATGACTAGATAGATATTAGTACGTACTTTTTATTTTAATCTAATGCAATTGAAATTCACAATAAAACAGTTAATTAACTGAAAAAATAAGGAATGTGAGGAAAATTAGAGATGAAAAATCGTGATTGAAACATAATATAATTTGTACCTTTTATTTTTTACTAGACGTGTTAGTTAATTTATTATTTCAGCCTTTTGCATAACGCTGGAAAAAAAAGAAAAGAAAAAAAGAGGCTGTCATGGGAAATATTTTAATTCCATTGGGGGCGAGGGAGAAAGTGGAAACTCGAGGTCTAGCAATGGAGTTGGTCGGAACTAATTGCAATTAATTTATCCATCAAAGTGATGAAACAGATGGGATGTTAATTTCTTAAATTCCAGTAATTATAAGTATACACATCATGTTGAAAAGGTCAACTTCAACAACTCTGCTATTTTGTTTCAACAACGTGAACTAATAAGTTTTTCATGGGATTAACACTTGTTTTTTTTGACATACTCACTCCGTCCCATAATTATTGTCCAGTTTGAATTTTTATTTTTAGTTCAAACTGTGCTAAAAATAAAATCTCAAACTGGAAAATAATTTTGGGAGAGAAAAAGTACTATATTTCAATCCAGATTGAAGAATATGAATGAATTCAAATACTCTACAAACATATTTGATCTTTCCCCGTCTAGCTACCCGGATGATTTCCACGAACACTTGCCTTACGATAACTTTTGCTAAAGCAGAATCACGACTTCTTAGCTCGGGGTGGGTAAAAAAGTTTGCTAAGTACTACTAAGCAACAAGTCCATGCAAAGTGCTAGCTAAAAGCATGGGAACACAACGTGGAGTGTGGACAATATAAAAGCAATATTATGTGCTACTTGATAAATAACCAGTGTCATTTACTTCCCTATTCTCCTTGTTTTTTTAGGCAAAAAGGAAAGATAACTATTCTCTCCAATATGCAATTTTTTTTTTTGGGTACTTTTAAGGTTAAGTCCAATTTTCATCAACTTTATCTAAGTGGTATATGTCATTGTCACGTGGATATTTTCCAAGATTTTCATTTTCGTATAATATTGTGTGGAAATGTTAAAACAAATTGTGATTCAGCGAGCTTATATGCATAATAAATAATAATATAATGATGTATATGTCACATTAATTTATCGAGTGTGTAATACGAAAAGAAACAATAACGACATGCAAATTACCACAATTTGACCCATAACTTGTGTTTTGAGCAGCGTTACGTGACGTGTTTTTTAGTTTTTCTTTTTTTCCCGGTACATAAAATGTTACGTGTTCATTATTGTAGTTGCAGTAGTAAAGAGTAAAGACTATATTTTTTTATTTTTTATTATTATTTTTTTTTGTACAACATAAAGTCTATATTTCACAAGCTGTAATATTGAGCGAATCTGTAAACCCTAAACCATAATCACGGATTTTGAAGAAAACATTACAACAATCTAACCTTCGAGGCGTTTTATGTTGTCCCCAAAAATTATATAGAATGCATTTTTTCGATAATTCAAATTGGTGCAATAGAACAATTAATAAGTTCTCTTTCCTTTGACCTTGCAACAATTATATCAAAGTTGGAGGCCATATGATTGTATGTCTATAGCACACACGATGCACATACATTATTCTTGTGGATCATGATTCTATATGTTCAGAATGTCGAAAACATGAATCTCATATCTTAGCAACATAATCCTTCTCAAAAAAAAAATGAAAAGAAAAAAAAAACACTCAGCTACAGATGTAGGAGACAGCCTACCTGTTTTTGAAGAATCAATTGGTTACAACTTACAACTTAAAAACACTCTTTCTAGTTTCTAGAGGAAGCCCTTTTTTTTCCTAGTATGGATTGAGTGATTTTTAATTATTAAATCCATCAATTAATTAATTTTCAACCCATTTTATTGTATCACAAGTTTAGCCAAAAACCGTGTTTTGGGTGAGATCGAAACAGCTAGTCTTCATCCACCTTTCTGAAAGTGATCACTTTTATATTTGTATTTAATGGTCGTCTAATTCTGTTGACTAGTATACTCATGCTTATATGGATCCGAACAAAGCAAGCCTTAAACGTGAAGATTAATTAAACCCGATCATATACTCTTTTAAACAGAATTACTCATGGAAATTTGAATCGCAGTCTTGCAATGATAATCTCATGCATGCTTATCGTTTGAAAAAAATTAAAATTTAATGTGAATTATTTTTTAGAATAAGAGAGCATTTCGTAATTTACTGAACCATGTGTTTAAAATTCTCCCGTTTGAACTGAACATGATTGATTTTTATTTATTTCTTTTTTTTGGTACAACATGATTGATTTTTTAATTTAAGGGCGAAAAATCAACATGCAGCGCCTCGAAGCATTTCGAGATGTCCTAAACTGTTGTCTTACTATGGACGAGGTGTTTTGTCTCCCGTTGTATGGCATAATCAAAACCACATTATGCATTTGCTTTGCAACATATCTTTCAATTATTACAAATTCATATATGCAGAAAAATCAATTATTTATACATGAAATCTTTTTTTAAAATGGCCAAAAGAGAAGCACAAAAGAACCTCTAACTGACGCCATATCTTGAAAAGTCAACACTAAGATTTCGAAACTACCATGCATGCATCCATAGCCTATGATTACAGAAACAGAGACGAAAGTGCATGTAACTAACACATAACATATAGTCAACAACAATATAAGATTTTAATACTCTCTCTTCGTCTCAAAATTTAAATATATTTTTTTCTCTATTATTTCAATTCAACAAATAAAACTCTTATTTTGAAATAGAGCCATTATAATATTCTCTTCTCAACTACCAAACCCCGCCTTATAAGATGCATTTAAATACCAAAACCTTGTCATTCACGAATCATAATCACAAAGCAGCCATATACAGCTATCATCTACATCCAAGTCTATACCCATATACCAATACCAAATTAATCACCATAACTTCTGAAGAACAAACAAGATGATGAAGATGAGATCATATTACAATCTCAACACAGCCATTTTAGCTTTACTCTTCCTAGCATTCTTCTTCTCAAAACCAACACTTCAAACTTCATCATCATCACCATACCCTAAATACCCTCCACCGCCTCCCTGCCAAAGACTTGTAAATGCATATTTTGCTTTACAAGCTTTTAAACGTTCAATCACATCAGATCCTCAAGGGTTCACTTCAAATTGGTTCGGTCCAAATGTTTGCAACTACAACGGAGTTTTTTGTGCACCGGCTCCGGTTGACCCGAAATGCGACACGGTTGCCGGAATTGACCTAAACCATGCTGGATTATCTGGTGTATTACCTGAAGAATTAGGTCTCCTAACTGATCTTGCCCTTTTCCATATAAACTCGAATCGATTCTGTGGTACGCTCCCAAAGAGCTTCACCAAACTTAAACTCCTTTTCGAGCTTGATGTGAGCAACAATGATTTTTCCGGTGATTTCCCTTCTGTTGTTCTAAACCTACCTTCACTCAAATATCTTGATATAAGGTTCAACAATTTCCAAGGAAGTATTCCACCAGCCCTTTTTGACTTAAAGCTTGATGCTTTATTCATAAACAACAACAAATTCAAGTCTTCTTTACCTAAGAACATTGGAAACTCAACAGTTTCGGTTCTTGTTTTGGCCAACAATGATTTTCAAGGATGTTTGCCTTCCGGGATCGGAAAAATGGGCAAAACCCTTAATGAAATCATCCTCATGAATGCCGGATTAGGTGCTTGTTTGCCAGAAGAGCTTGGATTACTGAAAAAAGTCACAGTCTTTGATGTGAGTTTTAACAATCTTGTCGGGAAGCTGCCGGAATCCATTGGGGAAATGACTAGTTTGGAACAACTGAATGTAGCACATAATAAACTTTCCGGCGAGATTCCGGCGAGTATTTGTTCGCTGCCGAAGCTGCAGAACTTCACGTACTCGTACAACTACTTTTGCGGTGAGCCCAATAAATGTCTTAGTTTGCCGGCTAAGGATGATACGAAGAATTGTATTCCGAGCAGGCCGGCACAAAGATCAGCCCAAGAATGCCAGGCTTTTTACTCACGTAATCTCGTGGATTGTAGTGCTTTTGGTTGTCAATCTAAACGTTGGCCGCCGCCGCCGCCGCCCAAGGTTAGTCGTCCTCCACCTCCAGCACCGAAGAAGCCGGTAGCATCATCACCTTCGCCGCCACCACCGGTGTATTATTAATTATTTTACTTATTTTTTTGGGGTGGGTTTTGATTGTAATTTTTATTCAAAAAAAAAAGGAAGAAAAGAATTGTACCCCAAAAAAAAAAAAGAAAAAAGAAAAGAAAAAAAGATTGGTTAATTAAATACATACTTTAGCAATCATCAATAGTGATTTTTTTTTATTTACATTGGACAAACTACTTTGTATTGTCCTTAGATTGACCTGACGTGGCTCTCTCTATATATATATATATAAGTTTTTAAATTCATTTTCTTTTCTTGTGGGAAAGAGTTTATTTGTACTTTTTGCCTTTTAACTATTTCTAGCTTCTAGAATATACAATTTGAATTAAATTATCGTGGTGGTTAATGTTTAGTTGTAATCCTTGCTGTGACTCATCTCGAACACAAAAAGATATGGTGATTGCAACTGCATGTTTTTCTTGCGGAATACTCATTTTCTAAATGGTCGAAGCGGAATAGCAGTAGCATGGAAAGCTCTCGTTCCTCCCAAAATGAAAATAACGTTTTATCATATTGTTTAAGTTAAGCAAAACACGTTTCTTATTTTGTGACTACACATTTCGATGAGGCAAAATATTCGTCCATACCAATTTTTAAGGTCTTAAAGTAGCATGTTGAGTTTGAGGGAGAGAGTTTCCTTCCATTCGAATCAGCACACAACACACAAGCCTCTTTTGAAATGGAACAAAAGAAAAGTACGTAAGAGTGGTATTACTGAGTTAAGTTATATTTAAGTATAAGATCCCTTATAATTTCTAATTAAGTTATATTAATGACTCAAATATAGGCTCACGTGTAATTCTACCTTAAAACTAATTGGTAATAAGGAGAGTAACACGTGTAGTTATTTATTGATTATAAGATTCTCCATCCATCCATGTCAGATTAGGGAATATTGACATATCTCAATACATTATTCTCAACAAGTTGCATATCGAAAATGGAACAGAGGAAATACTGAAGACTGAAGAACCGGCCGTTAATTATTTATGGATAGGAGAAATTCGTAAAAAAACTCATGCTATGTTTGGATGGTGGACTTTTATAGTTTTGTGGTTTTGAATTTTTCCAAGCTCATCTTTGGATAGTGGACTTCAATTTTTTTTTTTTCTTTTTTGTTTCAATAATATTTTATTAATTTATCTCACTACTATCTACCACCGGTCACTATTTGAACGCAGTAACAATGTGATCAATGACGATAGCCGAAAGTATATATATTTTTATTTGTTTAAACGCGTATTTTCAAATTTATTTTGAAACCTATCGCAAACAAATTAATATAAAAAAATCATTAAAAAATTAATTAAAAAGACAATATAAAAGGAGCCTCACAAATTTGGAAAAATAAAATGAGAACTCAAATTTAAATTTGGAAAATAAATACTACAAAAAAAAAAAAACTGGTTTTAGACTCCCCCAACCCAAAAAAAAGAACAATAAAGCCCGTCACGAACAACAGTCAAAACTCAGAAGCCTGCTTTCTTTCGTACACTTATTTTTAACTGGGCTGATTCTTAAGTATCAAGCCCAAACCTTTAACCCACTATAACCCGAACAAAAACATAGGTCCAACGAACAAAGAACCTAGATATATAAAGGCTAGCGATTTCAGTGGCATTAGGGTTTAACAATCTCTTAAAAGAGCTTCCTCTCAAGACTCCTTCACTCTTCACCGCCGCAGTTCCAGAGAAGCTCAACCATGGCCGTCGGGTACTCTCTCTAGCTCTTACTCTCTCCCACACTCTTCCGATTGCGTAATTCATCAGTTCGCTTGTATTAGTTTCCATTTTCTTTGAATGCCGTGCTTTGAAACCGAACGTTTTCCTCTTATGCAGTAAGAACAAGAGGATTTCCAAGGGGAAGAAGGGAGGAAAGAAGAAGGCGTAAGTGTTTTTTCTTTTACTTTTTTCTTAATATAAGATGCAAGCTATACCATATTGGATTCTGGGATTTGGTAATTGAATGTCATGGATGTTTTTGTCTGATTTGGGGTTTTTTTTTTTTGGTGATTTTGGGAATTTACAGAGCGGATCCCTTCGCCAAGAAGGACTGGTATGATATCAAGGCTCCGTCTGTCTTTGGTGTCCGCAACGTCGGCAAGACCCTCGTCACCCGTACCCAGGGTACCAAGGTAATCTCGTTCTTACTCTTTACCTGGGCGCTCATTTCATCAATTTTTGTATTTTTCTTTTAATATGTTAGCTTTTTAACTTATTCTGAGCTCATTTTAAGTAGTTAGATGTTTTTCCAATTGTAGAAGTTGGGTCTTTTAAATGTTTCTTTAGGATTTACTTAGTGAACATTGGCTGTTGTAATCCTTAGTACTAGACCGTCCTATAGTGTGCTGTGCTTAATTGGTGTTTGTAAATTGTAATTCCATTTTGTCGATAATGTCATTGGCAGCTTTTAGCTTGGATATAGTGTCTGTTGGTTGCTATTGTTTCCTGTTTCAATGGCTTAAAACTAGGTTTATTTACTGCTTTAAATTTGTGTTATCAAGTATTTCTGCATCTTGATTGTCAAAAACCTTCAGTATGAACTATACTATTCAGTGATGTGTGTGTAAACCTTCAGTATGAACTATACTATTCTGTGATGTGTTTGTAAGTTCTCTAACATAATCTCTTTTTGGCTGATTGTTTTTGGTTTTTTGGCTGTGTAGATTGCTCTTTTTGGCTGATTGTTTTTGGTTTTTTGGCTGTGTAGATTGCTTCTGAGGGGCTCAAGCATCGTGTCTTTGAAGTGTCTCTTGCTGATCTCCAGGGTGATGAGGAACATGCCTTCAGGAAGATCCGTTTGAGAGCTGAGGATGTTCAAGGCAAAAATGTTTTGACAAACTTCTGGGTATGAAGATGTAGCATTCGCTTTTATTTATAAAAAAGTTTCAAATTAATACATTTCTGATATTCATAACCTTTTTAATGTTGCAGGGAATGGACTTTACTACTGACAAGTTGAGGTCCCTTGTGAGGAAATGGCAATCATTGATTGAAGCCCATGTTGATGTTAAGACAACTGACAGTTTCACCTTGAGGATGTTCTGCATTGGCTTCACAAAGAAGCGTTTGAACCAACAAAAGAGGACATGCTATGCACAATCAAGCCAGATTCGCCAGGTAAATCTCTTTGGTTCTACCTTCGTGATGTTTCCTGATTTCTCTTCAAGCACTATGTTTATTAGCTGTTCGTATCCTCTTCAAATGTCAATGTTATTTTCTTTTTATGTTCAATCATCTATGTATATTGGAGCTTGTGTTGTATGTATGCTGTCATATTTGTTTTTACCTGTGGAATTGTGTTGTAATTCAAATACTGATTTGGATTTGTTTGTTCTTTCTGAAAGATTCGTCGCAAGATGCGTGAAATCATGGTAAACCAGGCCCAGTCATGTGATTTGAAGGACTTGGTCCAGAAATTCATTCCTGAATCAATTGGCCGTGAGATTGAGAAGGCTACCTCTAGCATCTACCCACTTCAGAATGTGTTTATTAGAAAAGTCAAGATCTTGAAGGCTCCTAAATTTGACCTCGGCAAGTTGATGGAGGTAAGCATTTTTTTTCTCTGTAAATTTAGTTGTTCCTAGTTACTATCTACTTTTGTTTGCTTGGGAAGGATTTAGAATTCAGTCGGGAATAGTGTAATTGCCCACAAGGCTCGCGCCATTTGTGATAGTGTGCTTTTAACACATGATCAATTCTTGATATGTTCCTAAATTTGCTGCCTCTTTTGTGTAGGTACACGGTGATTATTCTGAAGATGTTGGTGTGAAGTTGGACAGGCCTGCTGAGGAACCAGCTGCTGAACCAACTGAAGTCGTAGGAGCTTGAACAATATTGAATATCTTTTACTTTTGTTCTATGCTTAATTCAGTTTCTGTTGTTATATGGACAAGTAGATTATGTTACCCTCTTCATATTTTCTTGTGTTGCAAAGTTAGGAAGCAATTTTGCCTTTAACAGAGAGCACATTGTGGATTTGGCCCCTATTAAATTGAGTTTTGGATGGTTTTAGCTCAAACTATGTTGTCTTTAAATATATCTCAACTGTTCCTGAGTATATTCTACCTGCTGCTGTTATTGGGATTTGGGGTTGATTCCTTGCATCATTTATAACTAGAAAATCTTTTTGACTTTCGGGGTGCACTGATGATGGATTTTTTTGTTGCTTTTTTTCCCCCATTTCTTTTGGATCTGATTCAATTCAATTTAAGAAAAGTGTTGATTTTGAGTGAATAATGTATTTACCAATCAATCTTCAGTGTTTGACCAAAGACAATGCCACAATGGATTCATAGACAAGGATGTTAGCAGGTTGTAACTTGTAAGGTTGATCCAGTAAATGTCATCATTATCCCGTGATTTCGGTATTGGAATGATTTCAGTGACTGCAAAACTATCAAAACAATATACTTCAAACAAAATGAAACCACAGGAGATCAAATCATCAGGAGTAACCGTACTTCCATTTACAATTTCAACATTTCAATTCATATCATCAAAAGGCCTAGCTGCAGGTTAAGAAGCTGAATCAAGTACAAAGTCAAGTAACTTGCCAGCTAGTTTCTGAACCTACAACTACACGAGAAGGAAATGCAACACCGAAAAAGAAAAATATATATAGATGCAGCGAACTACATACTACTGCTCTGATTCATGATCAACTCCTACTTCGCCATCTCTAACTTTGCATTGACTAGAAGTGTTGGACCCTGAATTTCCACTCCCCCTGAGCTGGTTCATAAGACACGAATTCGACTCCTTGATCTGCTGCCTTTTTCATCAGCATCTCCCTGCCTCTATCAACCTTGGGACCATCCACATATTGTTTCCCTGTAGCCTTGTCAATACATTTGATGTTAAGTAGAGTTATCTCAGCAGGTTTGTTGAGGCCTTTCCCAACTTGTGGTTTCTTGCTTTCGTCCGGGTACACCAACACTTCCCGATTCTTAAACTTGATTAGAGATTCAAGGTCAAGATTCCTCACATCGATTTCCCTTAAGAACTTGATGCTACCATAACCTTTTCTTCCAACCACAAAGTCCTTCACATGGGAGCAGAATCCTGGTTCAACCCTTTCCCTTGCAGCTAGCTCCTGGATTGGAGGAATTACATAATAGTCCGGAGACTGCAGCTTTGGCAACAGAGCATCGACACTGGCAGCATAATCATTTGGAACTGTTTGATTCCTCGCACTATCATCAAAGTTCCCATCAACAGCCGAGTCTGTATGTTTCCCTGTGTTGTCATTGGAAATCCCTAATAATCAAAGTAGAAAGTTAGAACGCAGAGACAAACTAAAACAAAACTACAAAGACAAAATCGCAAATAAGTTGATGTTTTCTGCTACAATGTGCAATTTAAGGAAGAAAGGGATGATAATTTGTTTTTGTTGATTGCTATATTTGCTCAAATGTTTTAGCAAATAAACTTAGTCAATCAGCAATCATCAAACCTGGAGTGATCAGGGATTATGCTTACCAGTCTCAAAGTCAGATGACACTTCCTCCAACAGAGCTGATCTAGTTGATCTTGTGTCCAACGTTGAGGGGTTTAGAACCCAAGCCCTTGGATTTTGCCTTGGATTAAGGGAAATGGAAACTTTACCCGAACTGAATGATTTTTCTTCGTAAAAGGGAACCTGTCAAAACACCGGCAAGACAAACATTGTTATTGAAAGTACACATACATATTACTTTCTTCCAGTACTACTAACTATGGTTTCGCTAGAAATTCAGTGTCAGTTTTCTGCTTCTAACCACATCATAAATCTCACCTTTTGGCCATCATCTTTTGGCTTGTATTTCTGAAATGAGAGCTTAGTTCGACTGAGAGTCAAGTTCCTGGCACTCAGCATGGAAACTCTTTTGACCGAAGTAGGTTTTTCAGAAGTCTGCAATGCAACAAAGCAAAGTTAATAACATTCCACAGTGTTTCTGTCATGAGTAGATGCTGATAGTTCGATTTATGTAAGAATTAACTGCAGAAGTAAACTAGTAGTATTATGGAGGAAAATCATCATATGATATGCAATGTGGAACAAAAGCTGGATTTAGGGAAAGTTGACCTCACCATGCTTGAAATTCCACCGTGAACTGAAATAGAGGAGATCTGAGAATTGTTTGTTGTCCGAACTGTAGACTTTTCGCCAAAGGGATTTGCAACAGTTGGAATGGAAATGCTGTTCTGGTTATGAATATCTGATTTCAAACTCCCTGAAAAAGGACACAATGAGAAAGAAAAATTCAGTACCATGGGGCTACCAGAAATCCAATCCAAACGAAAGTAAGAGTGTATCAGTTACCTGATGGTGGTTGTTGAAAGATGCTATTAGTAATGGAATGATTTCCTGCAGTAGTCTGGGTTGTGGGAGGCTGCAAAAACATGGCAAGCTCATTAGTATAATGATAACATTCAGCTATCTGTGCTCTACGAAAACACTAAGAATATATCATCATCTGCATTGCTCAGGTGAACCCTTAAATGTATAAACACCACAAAATCATCTACTATTGTCACAACTGTTTTAGAGATCACATCTCGCATCATGATAAGGAAGCCAATTGAATAAAGCTGAGAAACGTAAACAGAATAAACCTAGAAACCAAATTTTGTGAAGGAAATTTACCTTTGCCCAAGTTAAAACAGTGGGGGTGCTTGTTTGAATTGGGGAAGTTCCAGTTGAAGGAAAGTTGCTCATTGGACTTTGTGGTTGACCTTGGGGAGTTAAAACAGGAGAAGGACTCGAAGGAAACTGCTGGTTCCAAGGACCTAGCCCAGTTGATGCTGCATTTGATGTTATAGGTTGAACTGGAGAAGTAAACATAGACGGTGCACTCGATGTAATGGCTTGTGGTTGGGTTTGGAAAGACAAACCAGATGGCGTTGCATTTGATGTTACTGGTTGGAATGGAGAAGGAAGCATAGACGGTGCACTCGATGTAATGGCTTGTGGTTGGGTTTGGAAAGAAAAAACAGATGGCATTGCATTTGATGTTACTGGTTGAACTGAAGAAGGGAACATAGATGGTGTACTTGAAGGATTTGGCTGTGGTTGACTTGGGAAATTAAAACCAGTTCCCAAAGTGCCCTGAGATCCTGTTCCAGTTGACATTGTATTCGACACAGTCGGTTGGGTTTGGAAACTAAATTGAGAAACTGGATTAGAAGGGAATTTGTACTGGGTTTGGGAAGTGATCACGCCAGATGATGTACTTGAGCTCACATTGCTCGGAAACCCGGTTCCAGGGAACATTGTGCTTGATGGTTGTTGTTGGCTTTGGAAATTGGAAGAAGGGTTAGTATTGGAGGGAAAGTTGCTCCCAGATGCCACAGAAGATGGAGCAGTAGGGAGAAAAGTTCTCCAAGTTCCAATTGATGCCGCCGGAGCAAGTGTCGAAGTCGATTTTGAACCTGAAATCAGACAGTGTCATCGCCGAGAAATAAGTCAATAACAAAGGCACAATGAAATGTATGTGAGGGAACTGGAGCCAGGGGGAATACCTTTATCAACCGAGAGCTGATGATCCTCAAACCTCAACTCTTCATGGCTCTTACTTTGTGAATTGTGCATGGCAGAAATGGAGACTATCTTAAATTGCGGGCCATCCTCTGATGGAGTTGGGACATATTTTGTTGCAGTAATTTGAGGCCCTGCAAACAAAAATATGCATTAGTGAATCGATTTCAAAGACTAGCGTATAGAAATATAAGTATCCCTCCTCCGATGTTACTCCTTCTGTCCTAGAAAAATAGTCCACATCGAAGAAGTATTTAAATATCAAACTATTTTCTTGGGACGGGAGTGCATTTAAAAGGCACAAGTTTGAACTGTTAGTTTTTATTTGTGTTTTATAAATAGGACCGGAGTCAGTATATATGTATAAACACAATACTTATAGTCATAGAAACCAAAAAACTAACCTGCAGTAATCCCAAACGCATTCTTACTGGAAGTGGCAGAATTTGTCTGACCAAAGATCAGACCACCATTGCCATGTGAAGGGCCTAAAGCTGTAACATGAAACAATTCATTAGCATTACATTCCCAAAGGCTGACACAAATTAACCAAACTAAATTCGCTAACTTTAGTATTAAAAGAAGATAAAAGAAGAGGAGAAAAAAAAGAGAAGCTGAGATACTAACCGGCAGTAAACAGAGATGAAGTTGTTGTAGCCAAAGCAGGGGCAGATAGTGTATTCCCGAAACCGGAGTTTGAATTCCCAGAAAATATGCCAGCCGCACTGGATGTATTATTGTTAAAAGCTGAAGAAGTGCCAGATGATCCTCCAAAGGAAAAAGTATTGTTTCCTTTGTTTGTGTCAGTCTTCTGTCCGAATATTGATCCATAATTCCCAAAGGAGTAGTTGCTGGATGTGTTGAAAGGTGAAGAATTGGCAACAGAACCTCCCAAGGAATTGGAAAACGGATTGCTGGCCTGATTTGTTTGCCCGAATACTGATGTAGGCTGAAAAGGGTTGTTATTAGAACCAGTGGAATTCGCTGCCGGCGTCGTCGTTAGTCCAAAAGGATTTCCGGCAGGAGCTCCAGAGGCGGCGACAGCAAACGGATTCCGATTGACTGAATTCGTGTTTTGCCCAAACATTGCCGATTGGCCGAATCCTGTCAATCATCATAGCAAAAGAAACCCAAGAAAAAAAAGGGAAAAAACACCGAATTAAAGCAACCAGTTAGCAATCGTGAAGAACAAAAACAACAAAAGAAAGAGAAACTTTTCCATTAAGTCCGGCTGGGGATTCGCACCAGAGAGAGATGTTGCAAATCCATCATGATGGAACAGAGTTCATCAGCAAAAAGTAAGGGATGGAAGATGATGACGATGATAAATCAATGAAGCACAAGACATTGCTGAATCCCAACTGGGCCATAATTTCGATTCTCGTTTCTGTAAAGATACGAATCCCGTTTTTGCAGCATAAAAAAAAAGTAGTTTGAGAAAAAAAAAAACTTACCTGGAATTGAAGAACTGCCACCAAACATCTCTGATTTTGATCAGGAAAAGGGACGGCTGATTTGTTGTCAAGAATCTCAATTGTAGCAGAACAGGATTTAGAGAATCAGCAGATAGAATCGAAGATTGGGGTCCCACCAGATCCGAGGATTTGCTGTATATATAGTGATGAGATTGGTCGGAAGAGACCGAGTAGCTTATTTTCTAAGCGCTTACTTTTTAAGCTACTCGTTATTTTGCTGCGCGCGTAAAATTTAACCGCCTTTTCCGGTATTTTTCTATATAAAAAAAAAACCAAAGAAAAAGAAATTTGATGGTCCATAACTGACTTGGGCTGGATTTACATGTTCGTTGGATCACATCATATCGGCTCTAAAAGAAGACCCAAAACAATTAAAAAAATAAAAAAAGCCCAGTTTCTTATCCGACAATAAAAGAAACAATTATGAAAAGATACAATAAATACACAAAATTTCATCCGTCACTCATTCATAAAATAAATACAGACTCTTGATTTGGGACCGAAAAAATAATTTTGGATAAAACACTGAGAAATTAGACATCTTTTGCTGTGGTACTCTTCATATGAACTATGGAGTATGGACTATTTGCCTGAGGAATGATAAAAGGCCAAAATTAAATTGACTACACTTTTCTCCACCAATTTCATCCAATTTATAATGTTTATATTGGGCAATGCTACTATTTACTGGTGGTGGTTATGATCTCATATACTTTCCCGTCTCATAATTATTATCCAATTTAGATTTTTATTTCTAGTTCAAATTATACTAAAAGTGAAATCTCAAACTGGACAATAATTTTGAGACAGAGGGAGTACAAATTTTTTAATTCGTGTTGATGGGTCTTTTAGGGAAGAGGATAAGCGAGGTGTTGGAGCATGGGGAAATAATCTCCAACCAAGGCTTTCAATTTTCATTTGTCACTCTACAAGCTGAACGATTTAGCAGGCTTATTAAGGTTGCAAGCTGCAATTTTTCGAGGGTTAACAAGATGCATATTCTAGACAGATAATGTCACGGTAGCTACACTGGTTTTAGGTTTTATCAGCCCTCAATTTTCTTTAACACATCTTGGAGAGGAGATTTTAGAACTTAAAAAAGAAATCAATGTATTGCGTAATAGAGAAAGCAGGAATCTAGTTGAAAATGTTAATAGAATGGCTGAATATATATATATATATATATATATATATATATATATATATATATATATAGTTGGGTCAGGCATCATGTAACTTCTCTATTTTCAGTTTTATATATAAAATATATTATGGTTCAAAAAAAGTATGCAATCTGAAGACAAAATTCTAGGCTCCATTTGGACAAGAGTTTTAAAAAGACTTTTAAGGCTAAAAAGTATGTTTAGAGTTTAAAATGAGTTTGGACAAAATAATTAAAGTCTTTTCTAAACATAAATTTGAAAAAAAGAAGGTTTGAAACAGACTTTTTAGAAGGGGTATTTTTCAATTTTTTTGAACAGACCTTTTTTCTCCGTTCGCGGGTCAAAATTCGGGTCAAATCTGGGTTATGAAAAAACGGGTGATGCATATAAGGGAAAATTACGCCATTCGCTGCTCACTCTTGCCCTAGATCCGCCGCCCCCTTTTCTCACTTTCTCTCCTTCAGCCGTGCGGCAACCCGGCAACAGTGACGGCGACAGTGACGGCGGCGACTGCAAAACTCCCCCTGACGGTGACGGAGAAGTAGAAAGTGACACCTTGTGCTGGTAATCTTTCTTATTCCCGTTTTTTTTTTTGATTAGATTAGGTTTAACTTTCAATCACTTGTAATATTTGGATTTACACTGAAATCCTTGTTGATTTGTGTAAATTTTTTCATGGGTTTCATTTATTGTATCATATTTGAAGTGGGTTTGTTTTTTTTTCCGGGTTTCTGTATTTGTGTTAGGATTTGTGTGGTATTTAGTGGTTTCTTCTGCTTCGAGTGATGTTTAAGAATGTGGCTTCAATTGCTTCTTGAATTTCATCTTAATTTAAGTGGGTTTATGCTCTGAAGTTGGTCTGAATTCATCTTTGTGTTTCTGTCCCCCCGGCTTTTTTTTTCCTTCCATTTTTTAACCAGAAAAATTTTGTGTTTCTGTTTGAAATCATTTGAGGAATCCGCTTATGTTTTGCTTTTCTTGCCTGTGATTTGTTGCCATCAACCTTAACTAGGAGAATGCATGGAAGACAGGCATTACCTAATTCTACAAGAACGGTAGTGAATTCGTTCGGTATATTACTAGCTAGCATCAAGTTTTACATTGGTTAACTTTTTCTAGTTGTGACTCTGTAAATGAGTTGATAAATCAGATCAACTCAGAACCATAGTAGTTTGATAGTTACAAGATGCAGGAGGAATTTGCGCTTCTAACAGATTCATATCCTAAAACTTAATTAGTAAATTCCTTATTTAGAGCACCAGACAAAAATAAAGTTACGTAAATGTCTCCCCTGTATTCTTCTCTCGTTTTTTTCATTCTAAAAATGTGACCTATTGGCTGAAAGGGAGCCTCAACCCTCGGGTTAGCAGTACGAGTTGTTGTCATGTATCATTTACCAAGTTTCAGAACAGCTTGTAGATCTAAGTGAAGCTTTAGTGATCCAAACCTTCTGTGCCCTCATTAGTTAAGAGTTCTTGAGTGTAGACATCATTGTAAATGTTTGTATTGCCAGTAATTGATTATGCTATTTGCAACCTCTAATACCATACTGATTATGGCTACTTGTTTGCAGAAATTGAAGACGCGTGTCATAAATAAGGATGTTAACCCCGAGTGGAATGAAGATTTGACTCTTTCAGTGTTTGATCCCAGTCATCCTATCAAGCTGGTAAGTTTTGTTTAATCAATTTTGAGCATAAAACAAAAACAAAAAAGCAGAGGAGAGGTTATACTTTTACCTTGAAGTTAGCAACTTCTGTCCTCATTGCAAGAAGCTTGGCAAAATTACCTTTAATCTTATGAATTTTGCTTGTGAGAAAGAACAAATTTCTAGTCCATTAAAGGAACTTCATGGCATGTTTAATTCTCATCAATGCCTTGCATATTTCTAGATTTCTGATGAAATTAATTTGATATGAATTTGCTTACTAGAGGAGTCTGTCTGAACCTTCCAGTTGAAAAACAAGTTTCTTTTGCTGAGTTATCAGGCTGAACGATGTGGCGGGATTTGAAATTAACTTTTGGTCTACCAGTTTGGTCTACCCTTTAGTTTGAAATTAACTTTTGGATCCAGCCGTAGCTTCTCTTTTTAGAAAAAAAAATACAAATCTTCCAGTGAAATTCTATAGTGTGGTTGATTAATGCACCTGATTATTTGGTTCTGAAGTAACATATATATTAACTGTTCAATTTTTCAAACACGGGAAGGTTGTGGTGCTTCACCCGATTAAAACTGGAATAAAAACATTTCCGTGTCCGAAGTAATTACTACTTGTTTCCAATGTACCCAGTTTCAGCTATATTAACTGCAAAACACTACTCTGATAGACTTCTTTTGCATAGGTTCATCATGGTAGATTATTGATAAGCATTCCTTAGGCATTAGGGTATCTCCCACATTTTGGTCAACCATCAGAAGCAATATTCACTGGCTTCAATCTTATTTGAATGTGGAGGATTTCATATTGTTATGCAAAATCTATATGGCAGAACTTGTTATGCAAAATCTATAGGATTTACGTCTTTCTTTGATCTTGAAACCTTTCTTATCTCAAAAGAAATTTTTATCTTTCGGCACAGTTTCTGTTGAAATTCTGAGATCTCTTCCACTGTTTCTTTCAAATTGATTTAATTTGTCAATAGCTATACTGAAATTTTATCAGTAGTGTTGTACTTCCACAGAGCCACTCGTGTTTCCATTGTAATTGTCTTTTGGATTTCATCATTCGTCTTTGTTTCTGATTCATTTCATTTTGCATGGTGATGGATCACTTTCTCATTATAGTTATGCTTGTGTTGACTTTCCCAGATTTAGGTGATCAGGTGACTGATGCTAAATACTTAGTGGGTGTCTTTAAGGTTGGGCTAAGATTGTCAAGAGGGGACTTTGAAAAGAGTCATTCCCAGAGATGAAATTGCAGAGCGGTTGATTGAAGCCACAACCGGTCCCAAGGCTGCACAAATGAAACAGAACGCAATGAAATATAAGAAGGCGGCGGAAGAGGCTGTCTCAGAAGGTGGCTCCTCCACTTCGAATCTGCTTGATTTCCTTAACGAGCTCGCAATTGGCGTTCCCATGATGTAAAAACCAAAGAAGAACCTGTGAAGGGAAGCACTGCAGCTTGCCATTGACCATTAACCAGTAACATGAGTTACAATAACCCAACAGTTTTGTCCTTTATTTTTTACACAATAATTAAACTGGGTTATCCAATCCAAAGCGTGCCTAAATGTCAGTTCATTTGTGTCTAAATTTGTATTCCACTAAATTAATCAATGAATGTCCATATTGGACTCTTTTTCTAATATAGTGAAGGAGCAATAACCGGCGAATGACCATAGCAACACAAATGTGGAATGGTATTAGAGTTTTAAATATTGTGGAATTCGTATGTGTTGAATGTGTGGAATTTAAAATATTGTGAATTTATTCCAAGTCTTATGAACTATGTGTTATTTTTTTTTTTTTTGAGAGTTGGATGTTTAAAAATCTCTCGATAACAATATTTCAAATTTATTATGCATTCGATAAATTATAATGGTTTTAATATTATGCTTTAATTTAGTCATATAATGGTTTTAAAATGAAACAAAAATGCAATAATAATATGAAAATTTGTGTAAGTATTTCCTTTTATTACAAGAAAAAAAAAGAAAGGTGTAATAATTATTTTTTGACAAAAAGTGTTTTTGGAAAAGGTCTAATCCAAATGATTTTTTAATATTTTTAACTACAAAAAACTTTTTGTTAAATTTTTGTCCAAATGGATTCTTTTTCAAAAAGTCTTTTTAAAATTTTGCTCCAAAAAGACTTATTTGAAAAGCTTTTCAAAACACTTGTCCAAATAGAGCCCTATTCACTTACGTGTGTATTCAAAGAGAGAGATCCTGACACAAATATCAGATTCACAATATAGTTTATAGTGATGTCAATAAAACATATGAATTCACAATATAGTTTATAGTGATGTCAATAAAACATATAAATTTTATGTTTTCTCTCTTCTCTGGTTATTATATTGTAGTTTATTATTTCAAACTGATTTTGTGAGGTTTGCCTTTGGCTGATATATAGATCAATCCACAAAGCTTATACACTTTTTATTTATTTATTTATTTTTTTTACCAAATTACTACTAAAAGTTACCAATACTCTCCCACTGAAACAAGTCCAAATTATTTTTCAAAAATTGGAAAAAAAAAAAAAGGAAAAAGAATAGTCCAAATAAAAGGTGGGCCAATGTCGTATATACGTCGTCATCAATAATTTCCTTAACAAACCAAACCCTAGTCCATTCTGCCCTATATTTAATTATTTATAGTACGTGAGAGATCAAAACACAGGCTGCCCTGTCTTTGTTGATTCCCTTTGCTCTGTTCTTTACTTGAGAGTTCTATGGAAGTCGGAAGAGACTCCAACGCCGTCAGCGGCGGCCGCTTTCTGGAGGGTGATTTACCGGAGTGGTTCTTATTCGAGTTGTTACACAGACTTCCGGTTAAAGACGTGTTGAGGTTCCAGAGCGTCTCAAAACAATGGAGGTCTTTGATCTCCGAACACTCCTTTCCCGATTCGTATATCTCCCGACTACCCTTCTCCGAACGTCGCCCATTCATCTTTCATCCGTCCAAAAACCAAGTAATCGATGGAGATGATGGAATCAGGTCAAAATATCCAGAGGGTCATTTTCTTACTCTACCGACTCCAAAGATCAAAGCCTCAAAATCAAGAGGTCCAGGGTATTATTTCCGTACTCTGGGAATTGACAAGGGATTTCTTCTTGTCTGCTGGTTGGTTACTGTAAGCGGGGAACTATCTGACTATACGATATACAGTGGCGGATTTCACATCTGTAGTGGCACCACTCATCAGCGGCTCAGCCTCCCTCCCCTGCCTCCGGACTCTTCTTTCACCAAAGAAGGTGTTTGCTTTATTGCCCAAGTGAACGAATCTCGAAAGGTTTTGACCAGTTTTAAAGTGATTGTGCTTGATTCTATACCTCTAAATGGTTGTTTTGTGGTGAATATATTTTCTTCAGAAACAGGGAGATGGGAGCTCATCAGAGTACCGTTTCAAGGTCCAACAACGCTGATCCTCCATTCCCGGAGGCCTGTTGTTCTAAACAACACTATTTATTGGGTCACTAATGAACGATTGAATCATGGCTCGTCCTTGGGCAATGTTCAGAGTAAAATTCTAGCCTATGATCCTCATGTCGACCCTGATCATTTTCGCATTATTGAATTCCCAATAGACTATGAACATCCAAATCCCCCCAACGCATCTAATGAGTGGTTGTTTTTTGATTCCAAATGCGGCGTTTGTCAAGGACGACTCAAGTATTTCAAGAAGAATGAAGAAAAGGGTAGGGAGAAGACATGGTTGAAAGTATGGGAACTCCAAGATGACGGCAACAGTTGGTGCCTTCAACACACTATCAAATTTGACGATGTTGTAGACGGTGATGGTCGTATTCAGTCTCCCATAAGAATCTGGAAGGTCGTATCATGTCATCCATCCGATCCAAATGTGATGTATTTGGATTTGGGGCGGGAAATGGGAATGGTGTCGTTCAACATATTGACTAAGAAGTTTGAACAAGTTGGTCCACACATCTTTTTCGATGATTTGTTCGTTGTGGAGATTCCACCTTGGCCCTTCTCCATTCCACCTTCTCTTATGTCTGTTGGAGATCATGAGTGATAGATTTAGTTTTTTTTTTTTTTTTTTTTGGTGTTTGTGTTTGAGAGATGAGAGGTTGCATTGGTTCGTGGTTCCGTTTGTGGAGTTAATACAATAAATTCCGTTTTGTAGTTGTTTAATTTCTGCAAGACAAAAAGGTATACCTTGTACGCCATTTTCCGCATAGGTAATGTTGTCGTCCGCTGTTTATTGTGAGTCTGATAATTTTTTAATTCTAATGTTTATTTTTCTTTTTTTTTTTAGATCTATTTCTTTTTCTAACAATGCAAGTTATTTGTATGTTCAGGAATTGATTTAGTGAGCTTTGAGGAGCAAAAGCCCCTCCTTGGAAATGTCATTCTGCACTCACAGCTTCTGTTTCTGTGCGTTTTTGCATTTCTTTTTTGGCATATTCAAAGTATCTCTAAGAAGGAAATGTAATTTGGTAAGAGCTAATACAACCATGAGATTACATACCAAAGTTGCATGCTGAACTAACCAACATTATTTTATACAACCATGAGATTTTCTAAAGCTCCTACGATGCATAAATGTTGTAGATGGTGATTGTCGTATTCACTCTCGCGTAAACATCCAGGACCTCGTATCATGTCATCCATTTGTTCCAAATGTGATGTCTTTGAATTAGGAGTCAGAGTTGGTTTTGGTGTCATTCAACATATTGACCAAATTAAAAGGTTTGAACAAGTTGGTACATTCGTCAGCTTCCATGATTTGTTCATTGAGGAGCTTCCACCTTCCCATCTCCATTCCACCTTATTTATGTCTCTATAAGATCTCAAGAATGATGTTGCTTTGGTATTTTGGTTCATTGGTTCGATCTCAAGAATGATGTTGCTTTGGTATTTTGGTTCATTGGTTCGTTTTACGTGCTTGTGTCACCAAGTTAAGAGCTAGGTTGCATCCTTAAAATATAGGCTCAGTAGTAAACGTGAGCGAGTGTGTCTCGTTTTTCAGATTGGCATACATTAAGAAGTCTTTGTTGTATTTTTAATTGCACAATGTGCTAGTTTTAGATTTGAATTTGTTGCAGATTGTTTTTTGAAGACATAAACAAGGTAGTGAATTTGGTAGAGTTATAGTGAATCTTAATTCTAAGTATTATACAACCATAAGATTTTCAAAAAAAGCTTCTACGATCATATACATGCATGATGGTGAAATACGTTACCAGCTAGCTTGATGCATCACATAATTAAACAAAGTGCTGCTGTTATGCATCATTATATTCTAGTTATGTATTGCTCCCTCTCCGGTTCTTAAAATAAGTTATTTTGATTTGTTCTTAGTTTCACCTGATACTCATTTTTAATTTGTAAAAGAATAGTAAAAATATTTCATAACAATCAAAAGAATATAATGAATGTGAAAATATATTTTAAAGATTTTTTTATTAATTAAAAATGTGTACTAAATGAAATATAATTGAATCAAAATATCTTATATTGAGGACCGGAAGAAGCATTAGACTATCATAATAGGGATATATGATCCTTGGGGTCTTCGAAAATCTTATGGTTGTACAAGGTCAGCTCGTTAGTTCTGAAGCATGCAAGTAAATGACTTTATTTGAATTCACTTAACCATCCAAAATCCAAGCTCATAATAGCCCTTTCAGTGCCTATCCCACTGCTTCCTTCTGAAAAGAAAATTTGAAACTTGAAGCAACTACACAGCCAAAAAAGAAAAGTCATAAACATTATTGCACAAAGATTTCACTTTTAAAATAATCTGAACTAAAAATGAAAATTCAAATTAATTGGACAATAATTATGGGACGGAGAGAGAGTATTAGATTGTCATATGATCGTAGGAGCATAAGAAGATGTTATGGTTGTATAAAAGAATGTTGGATAGTTCTCAAATGATATCAAAAATCCATATTTACTATAACTCCGCCAAATTTTCACCTTTCAGAAATGCTTCATCAATCATCGCAAAAGAAAACTTTGAAATGAAAGAAGCAAGACAGCCAAAAAGAAATGCATACCGAGACAGAAGATTCTAGTGTAGAAAAACAAAAGACGTCAATTGGGATAAACAAGGAAATGTACAGAGGAGAGCATCTTAACGCTCTATCGCGATAACTAACGCAAAGTCGCAAACCGATCGAGTACAAATTAAACTTTGTTTAATGATCAATAGCCTACCGGTTGCTTCAGTAAATTTTCATGGAAATAAAGGAGGCAATTTACCAAGAGTAAGCAAATTTTAGGGGCAGTAAATTTTATCCAAAAATCATAACAACATTAAAATACTCTTGCTCTGATATAATTATCCTTATTATTTCTTACACACACTTAAAAATAAGAAACTGAATTCCTTGTCTTACAACACAAATATAAGCGTTATCTACAAAAATATTAGAACCAAATTAAATGTGTCCCGCTCAAGTCTTCATTTCAAGAATTCAACAAATACACTAGGAAATCAATTTAAGAACCAAATTAAATTTGTCCCGTTGAAGTCTTTCCTTTGCACTCCCTCATATGGTTAGGATCTATGTTTTCAAAATTGGACCGGAAGGTGAATCGTTAGCGTAACGGGGTTGGTGGGTTTATCGGGTTAACGGGTTAATTCGTTTCTCGAAATCAGTGAAAATCGATTAAAATAATATTAAAAAAATTTAACAATTATTTTTTTAATAAATATATGCAAAAACCAGTTCAACCGCAATTTTGTCCCTCCGGTTCCCGGGCCAACCGGTTAGGCCGCCCGGGCCGGTCTGGTTTTGAGAACACAAGTTAGGATGATTGTCAGGTGCTGAACCATCAGGTTTTGACTGTATCTATGGTAAACATCAGGTTTTCATGATTCAATTATTAATAGGATGCAAAATAAACTAAAAATGAATTTATACAAGCCTATTAATCTTCAACGACGTGAATGATAATTGAAAAAGTACTGTACTCAATCCATGCAAAAAGGAGACCAATCATTAATTTTCATTCTCCAAATTTGGAGTTTCATGCTGTTGCAGGAAAGCCTTCATCGGACTCAAAAATTCCATCCGTTTCTCCTTGGCGGTCGATGACTCCCATCTCGGCCTCATCGTCATGCTTGCATTCAAATTTCTTCCATTCTTCTCCAATATTAGTACAAATTAAGTTTGGGTTACAGATGATTAGATTTCTTTTAATGAACATAATAAAGGCAATTAAGTCTGAAGAAAATATTTTTATTTTATGGTTTTATGAATTAAATTTACTACTCTTAATAAAAATTATTTGATGGCCATACCTCTTTTGTTAATTTCATTGTCTTTACTGTCCCTCTGCCAAATTCCCCCCTTTTTCTTTATGCTTCCAAATATGCATCCTTAAAAAAGTCAACCAAGTCAGGTTCTACTTGACTTTCATCAAGAGTTACTTTTTATTTTTTCCTAGGGGTTTCATATAAAATTTAACGATCAACATTATTTCATGAACCATTCACGTGAGTTGATTGGAAGACATTTTGCATCTTAATCAAAAATTAACTTCAGTCTTTCCTATTGCAAATTTTCAGTTTGGAAACAAGATGTCAATCGATCAAGTCAACTGTATATCCCGTGAAAGAAGGTTGACCGTTTAGATTTTTGATGAAATTCAAATAAGAAAAAATTTAAAAGTGGTACTCCCTCCATCCCATAACTAGATACTTGTCCCAGGCCAATGTCGGGGTCGTTTGTATTTTCAAATGGTTAAATAAAAAATAAATAACAAATTATTCAAAAAAGAATAATACAATTTATAATATGTATTTTCAAATGGTTAAATAAAAAATAAAGAACAAATTATTCAAAAAAGAATAATACAATTTCTACTTCATAGTATGTTTTGCGGTCCATTACATTTAAATATGGTATGAAATGTGAGTCTGTTGTTAAAGTAAAATGGCATATTTGCGGTAGAGCTTTTGTTTTCTATGTTAAATGTAAAGTGATGTTCCTAAGAAACGGATCGCACACGCACACAAGCGTGGGGGCTAAAAGTGCATATGGTTTGCATTTTGTTAGGTAGTGCATATTAGAGGTAGTCGAGAGATCTGTGTGTTATATGATATTAAATCTCTGAGGCCACTAAAAATTAAATAATTAACTGTTTTTATTTGTTTTAATCTTTGAAAATGCTTGAGGACAAGCAATAATTCAAGTTTGTGGGTATTTGATATGCTTATATTTTACCTATTTATTATATCCCTAATTTGTGATTTTTGCAATATATTTTGAGTACAAATATGCTATTTATATGATTTCATCTTTGATTGTAGGAATTGTACTCAAATGGAAGAATTGTTAAGGTGTTGGACTAAATTAAAAAGAAAGAGCAACTAAAAAAGGCCTAAGTGAAGATCGTAAGAACTAATGAGGAGGGAATCAGAAGACTTGAAGATTTAGAGGACTGAATTGTAATTTTTGTTTTTCTTTTTTTTATGGTTTGGCCGAAACAAAGGTGAAGGTGCGGCTGATTGGAGTTGAAATTGGGTAAGAATTTTAATCCCAATATTATTTGGAAAAATAAGTTTTCTTCCTCTCCAAGAAGTAGGGTTTGACAGAAGTCTATAAAAGGAGGATTATGAATTTATTTTTAGGACCGAACTTGATTGAAAAAACCCTACGTCCTCCGCCGATCCACCTTCTTGCCGCTGCAACTCCTCCGCCGATCACCACCTTGCTTCTCCTCCATTCCCACGCGGCACCAGCTTCACCACCTTGCTTTCCCCCCATCTCCACGCAGCACCGAAGCACAAAACCACCAGCCGTAGCTCACCACAATCATCACCTTAGTCATCATCGTTATCGTCATCATCAACCTTCCTGGCCACACAGCACCACCGAAGCAGCCAACAACACTTCTCCTCCCCGCCAATCTCTTGCACGCATCATCAAACAGCAACAACTGAGGGGAAGTTGTTTCTTGGACTTGGGGAACCGAAAGCAAGCAGCAGCATTGCTTTGATTTTTAGCTTGTGGTCACCACGGCACGGCAGAGTCTTTCGGGTTTTCTATTTCAGTTTTATTTTTAATTTCAGAATTTTGGATCATGAATATTAATGAATTATTTTTGATAATGTTTAGTGGCTAAATTCTTTTAACGTAGGGCTTGGATGTAACCGCCGGATTTATTTGGTTTATTTGGTTCATTATTATTTGACTTTTCCATTAATTAATATTTGTTATTCTTGTTTTAATCCGTGTAAGTAATTGGCCTCTATTTACATGTCTGAAAATACTAATCGAAGTAGCGAGAGTGAAAGATTAGTATTAGTTTGTAGGAATAATAGACTTAGGTTGTAAGTTACGAGAGTAAGATTATAACATTTGCAATGTTTGATTCTTAATAGTCTTAATGTGCTTTTGTTTAATCCCTATAGTCACGAGAGTAGTCATGGGGTTAATCTAAATAAGAGAATTATAACACGAGAGTGTATAGTTCTTAATTAGGTGAATCGTTGTGAGATTAATGGAAGTTAAAAGTCAGATACTTATGAATTGAACCAAATCAAATATTCGGTAGGTGAACCTAATGTCTTAAGTTTTCCCAACTTGATTGTTTCAACTTTTGAAAGTAATTGCAATTTTAGATTTTTAGGTTTAGTTTTATTTAATCCAAAAATTTGAAATCATCATCTAGATAATAATAGGAGTAATTTATACCTGGTAATTAGTATTCCTTCTCTGTGGGTATGACCCTATTTTCCGCTATATTAGTGTTAAGTAGGTAAATTTATTTGACTAGTTGCGAACATGCCTTGTCAAAAAGGGAGTATTAGATTTATACGTATCATAGCGCTCTTTGTATAGACAAACTTGTTCAAACTTCTTCTTCTTGGTCAATATATTGGAGGACATCGTTCCCATTTCCAGCCCCAAATCCAGATACATCATCACATTTGGATCGGAGGGATGACATGATACGAGCTTCCTGATTCTTATGGGAGACTCAGTAAAACGTTCTCCACTTACAAAATCTTTAATCTTGATAGTATGTTGAAGACACCAGCTGTTGCGGTCATATTGGAGTTCCCATATTTTCAACCATGTCTTATCCCTGCCCTCTCCTTCAATCTTCTTCTGAAAATACCTAAGTCGCCCTTGACAAACACCGCATATGGAATCAAAAGAAAACCACTCTTCAGATCCATTTGGTGGATTTGGATGTTCATGGTCGATTGGGAATTCGATGATGCGAAAACGGTCAGGGTTGGAATAAGGATCATAGGCTAGAATTTTACACTCAACATTGCCCTCGAAAAGACCGTGGGGTTCAATCCTTCATCAGTGAACCAATATATAGTGTTGTTTAGAACAACAGGCCTCAGGGAATGGAGGATCATTGTGTCCGGACCTTTAAAAGGTACTTTGATGAGCTCCCATCTCCCTGTTTCTGAAGAAAATACATTCACATCAAAAGCAACGATTGATAGGCTCAGGAGCAAGCACTATCACCTTGAAACTGGTCAAAATCCTTCGAGTTTCGTCCACTTGGGCTATAAAGCAAACACCTTCTTTGGTGAAATCAGTGTCCGATCCGGAGGCAGAGAAGAAGGGAGGCTAAGCCGCTGATGGGTGGTGGCACTACAGATGTGAAATCCACCACTGTATATCGTATAGTCTGCATACCTCTCGCTTACAGTCAACAACTACCCAACCAGAAGAAATCCCTCGTCAATTCCTATGGTATAGAAAAACCCTGAACCTCTTGATCTTGAGACTTTGACCTCTGGAATCGGTAGAGCAAGAAAGTGACGCTCTGGATAGTTTAACCTGATTCCAACCTCATCCGGTTCATACCGATGAAAATCTCGATCAACCAGTTGTTTAAATACGGATGAAAGATGAATAGCGGCATGGTGGAGAGGGCAGTCTGGAGAGATGCAAACCGGAGAAAGAAGATTCGGAGATCAAAGAGATCCATTGCTTCGAGACACTCTTGAACCCGAACACGTTCTCGACTGGAAGTCTGCAGATAAAAACCACTCGGGTAATTCCCCATTCAGAGAACCGCCGCCGGCGTCGGAGGTTCCTCCGGTGCTTTCGATTTCCATATAATTCAGTAAAAAGAACAGGGCGAAAAGAAATCGACTGAAACAGAGGAGTGAGGGACGACTAGAAACTGTCAAGGGTTTTGGGTTTGGGGAAACATTTGATGCCGACTTCTTGTGTATTCGGGTTTCAGGAAATTGACCCGGATTCTTTTTGCACTCTTTTATTTATTCTAGTGTATTATATGTACTCCTGCCCCGATATCATATTGTCCAGTTTAGAATTTCGCTTTACAATGATTTAAACTAAAAATGAAAATTGAAACTGGACGATAATTTCGGGGAGTATTTTGTATTCACTATCTAATAAGAGTAGATTGGACTGCATCAACATTCTTCCCCATTACAAAATGATAACTTTTTTTATACAGTACGAGTATGTTTTATATTGATTTAGTTTCGCCGAGATGAATAAGTTCGACAGTCAAATTTGTAACATGAGCAAAACACACAATAGAGTTTGTGGTTAGAAAACACCAAAGATAAAGCTGAATGGAGAAGCTGTTTGACAAGCTTTATTTGGATGGAAAAAAGGATTGAATCTAATTCTGCTGCAGTTCCCTCTAAAATGTAACAAAATACATCAGTTCTCTAAACTGCATCATCTAGTACTAGTAGAGTAAGAGTCATTTTCTCAGAGACTGATTTGATAGTAAAAACAACAATGAAAGTTAATTGTAATACATTCGAGGTGATGGCGTATTTGGAACTGTAGGCTTAAAACAGCAGAGTTTAGATTTCTTCTTGATTGCATTGTCTTTCCTTCCACTGTATATGAAGTCCCTCAGGATGATGGTGGTTTTGCTTCCCGAAAACCGGCTCTTGCTTCTGTTTTTCTGTTCATCCTCCATCTTCAGCAACACGTACTGCAGCTTCTGAACTTCCAGCTGCAGCCTTCCAATCTTTTCAGACCCTTTTCGTGCCTGCTCCGCGACTTTCTTCTTCCTGACATTTTCGGCGTCTTTCAGCTCGCCCGAATTCTGGGAAGAAGAAGATGAGGGATTCTCTTCAATGTTTTTCATGAGCTGACCGTTTAGGTCCACCAGCTGAACAACAGTTTCCTGGACTTCTTGCAGCTGCTCCTTGACGGTTTCCAGGTCGACATCCTTGGCTTTTTTTCTGTCCTTGCTTGTCTCTAATTTCCTCCTCAGGTTCTGCACTGTCAGTTGAAGATTGGTTAATTTCTGGGCATCCGAAGAAAGTCTCTCCAGGATCCTTCTGCTGCTGACTTCTCGATCAGATTCCTTCAAACTTGTTGATAACTCCTGCTTGTCAATGCCCAACTCCCTTTCCACCTCTGAGCTAGTGGATGGGTGTTCAGCTTTCTGCCTGAGATTCTCAACGTGATCATACACTATATCCCCTTCATCTGCAGCAAAAACCAAATTTCGGGATATGCTTGCAGCTCGATCCAGACTCCGGCACTCAGCAGTTTCCCACAGCTCAAGCATTTTATCGTCTGATCTTCCTTTCTTGGCAACTGCTTTTCTTTGTAATCCTTTAACTGGATTATCAGAGACATGATCCAGCGGAATATCTTTCATTAGAGCTATCTTCTTGACATTGTTGACTTCGGCTTTATCCTCCACTAACTTGAGGTCATCATCATTGAAACTCTTTGCAGCAGCTACTTTTTTCTCCTTCAGTTTAGATTTTCTTCGGCTGAAGCTGCGTCGGAGTTTTATGTCCTTTTTCTCCTTCAGGATAACAAGCCTGTTTGTGTCTTCTGCCATGACCTTCTCCACTGCTTTAATCCTTCTCTGTAGATTCTGTAATTCTTCAACGTCAAAACTCTTCGGTGATTGACCATCCATAGGTTTATCATGGACGCTTTCATCAGCGTCAGCTCCAAAATCACTCCACTGCAAAAATGGAGATGCAGGATAAAGAAATAATGAAATATGTATATCAGTGAGAAAATATAACATTAAAAGAATAGCTGATTAGATTAAAACAAAACAGATGATATCTTTTCCTAATAAAAGCAACAAAGGAAATCATTACCGTTGGTTCTGACCAATCAGCAGGAATCAACTTCTTTTGACGGAGCACATTATGCTCCAATGATGCTACATCCTCTCTCAAGGAAGCCACAATAGGAGCATATGCTGATAACTGAGCTCTTAAACCTCCAATCTCATTCTCCATTAGGGTAATATTCTCTTTCATCTGTTCAATTGCCAAATTTTTTGAAGCAGAAACTTGCTCTAGACTCCCACAAACATTAGCAAGCTCATGAACCTTGTTCTCATAAAGAACTCCGTGAATGGAGGAAAGTTGCAGGTCAAAATAAAATGCAGTTGCCTCAGCCTCCCAAAGTTCAAACTCATTGTTTCTTGCTTTCAATTCTGAACTCAGCTTCTCTTCTCTGATCCTTTGTTCTTCGCATTCTTCATGTAATTTACAAAGCTCAGTCACTAAGTTCTCATTGACCTGACGAAGGTTATTAATTTCCTTGTCCTGCGAGCTGTTGTCTTCAGACAATGTAAGCAATTGATTTTCAAGACTTTGTCTGAAGTATGACGCCTCTAGATTTTCAGCCTTCAGGGCATCCACAGTTTTCCCCAGTTCCAAATTCAGGTTATCTGCCATTTTAAATTTCTGTTCAACTTCCAAAACTTCAGCTTCCTTCTGTGTCAAGACATCTTTTGCAATTACTATTTCCTGCTTTAAGTCATTGTTGGATTGTCTCGCCTCGTGTAGTTCCACCTCCAACCTCTGAACTGAATCTTTCAGGAACATATTTTCTGCTTCTGTCTCTTCCAAAATCCTTCTCAACAAGATGGCATCCTTCTCGCATTCTTCCTTACTCTCACTTACGTGCTTCAGATTTTCAGACAGTAATTGAAGTTCCACGCCTTTCTCGGTCACATGATTCTCCAAAGCCGTGGAAATATTAGAAAGAACCAAATTCTCCTGGATGAGAACATCATTTTTCTGCTCCAACATAAGTTTCTCCTCCTTGAGTTCAGAAAACTTTTTGTAGAGATCTCTATTTTCTTCAAGCACTTGAGAGTACTTCACCTGCAAATCAAGGTAAGATTTCTGCCATTCAGTCTCCTTCACATGAAGACTCTCCACTTCCTCCTTAAGCCTCACAATTTGCTCATTTTGGTCACTGATCTGTGATTCAAAAGAAAGATTAATTTCTGTAAGTGCATGTTTGTCATTGTGCACCATCACAAGCTTATTATTGGTAATCTTGAGCTCTTTCTCCAAGAAATCCTTCTGGATTTCAGTTTCTACACCCTCCACTTTCAACTGCCTGAGTATGGTGAGAAGAACAGCATTTTCAATAGATAATATTTGCTCATCATCCTTGGACTTAGAAAGAGAATGCTTCATTTCCTCGATTTTTGCTGTAATTCGTTGCAGAAAGATCTGCTCATTTTCAACCTTATCTTCGCAGGCACAATCTGAGCTAACATCAAGTGCCTTGAACACCCGATAAATCCCTAATCGCAGTTTCTCAATTTCATCCAGCAAAAGCTCTGCTTCGACCTGTTGCTCTAGGTTTTCATTCTCCAGTTCTGTGATCAGTTTCTCAGCTAATCTGGATGCCTCAACTTGCTTCTGGCACTCAATGAGCAGAGAGTAATTTTTCTGTTCCATGTCCTCCACAAATTTCTGCAAAATAAAAACCTCGCATTGGGCTTTCACAGCTTTCTCAAGTTCATCCTCGAATTCTTTCTTCCTCCACCTGCTCTCTTCTTGCAAGAAATGAAGGTTGTGCTCCAACCCAACCAAGCGACTCTCACTTTTCAGTATGGAACTTGTTCTTTCTTGCTTCTCAACACCTAGAGAAATCCGTAGCTCATTCATTTCAGAGTGCATGGACTGTTTCTCCTTCTCCAAATGAGAATACTTTTCTTCCAGCCCTGTGAATTTTTCCTGCACATACTCTAACCCACGTTCAACATTTGCAAGTTGAAGAGCAAGGGTACTTCTTTCTGCTTGAAGATTGGACTTTTCATTCTTAAGTAAAGCACATATCTCTTCTAAGCCCTTAGATTTTTCCCTCAAACCTTCCAATTCAATCTTTGCACCTGATAAAGAATTCTCAAGAACAGCATTTTTCTCCAGGAGTTTCTGCATATTCTCAGTCAAATTCTGCAACTGAGAAAGAAGAGTAGCTTTTTCAGAAATAAGAACGGATTTTTCCCCACGAACAAATTGACACATCTCTTGCATTTCCCTGACTTTCTCGCGTGATGCTTCCAACTCAACATTTAGCTCTGACAATGAACTCTGAAGGACATGTTCATGATTTGCAAGTTCTTCCAGGTTCTCCAACTTCTTGTAAAGAGTTTCCTTCTCATTGCTTTCGTTTTCATAGAGTTGTTTCAACTTCACATTCTCATCCAGCAATTTCTTTACTGAAGATCCAATGCAATCAGGTTTCAAACCCACCGCCTCAAGTTGGTCTAGCAAAGCATGATATCTGTTATTCAGGCCCGTAATCTCTTCTTTAAGAGTAGTTATTTCTTTCTGAAGGGAATTACTTTGAGTAATTCGTTGTGCAACATCCTCTTCAAGTTTCTCCTTCATGTTCCTCAAGCAAAGAATTTCATTTTGCAGATTCTCCATTGAAATGCTCGAGGACAACTTCAGTTCATTCAAGCAAGTATTTTCATCCTTAACTTGACGAAGTTCATCTTCTAAGTCATGCTTGCTTACTTCCAGGTCCTTTATCGTCTGCAGGCTGGTTTTAAGTTCCTCTGCAAGAAGTTTATGCTCTTCCTGAGACTGAGAATGAATGGTCTGCAACGTCTGGAGCATGGCTTCTATCTGCCCATAGCGCAACTGCTCATCTTGCATGGAGACCTGAAGTTTCCCTAGCTCCTCTTGCTTCTCAGAAAGTTCTTTATCTTTCCTGGCAATTTTTTTCGTCAAATTTTCAGCTTCAAGGCGCAGCGACTGATTTGACATCTCTAACAAATTGCACTTATTTTCAGAATGCTTGAGTTTTGTAGCTGCAGTTGCGATCTCAGTATTGAGGCGTTTGACCTCCTCTTGGGCACAAGACAGTTCACTCTCAAGTTCAGATATCCCCTTCAGGCAACGTTGGTACTGGAGACTAGAAGATTCCTTCTCCCGATTGAGTTCAGCTAGAGCTTTTCTCAGCCTCGTGACCTCACTTTCAGCTTGATCTGCCTGATTCTTTGACACCCGAGCATGCTCTTCTGCCAAAGAAATTTTGTTTTCCAAATCAGAAATCTTTTCAACAGAGCCTGTGTAGTTTCGAAGGCCAGCTTCCTTTTCCAACTCTAATCTGGAGACTTCGAGATTCAGATTTTGAGCTTCTGTTTCTGCTTTCAAAGCTCTTCTGTTCAGCCCATCTAGATCCTCTTGAGCATGAGCAACGAGCTCCTGCAGATTTGAAATCTTCTCCATGGACTTCTCATGCTTGATTACTGCTGCATCCTTTTCTACCTCTGCTCTAGCAAGTGCTTCCTTCAGGGTCAGAACCTCAGTTTCTGCTTGGATTGCTTGGTCATTGAGTCTCATGAAATCCTTTTGGGCATGAATGAGTTCTTCCTCGAGATTAGACAACTTCTCTGTACAGAGTTGATATTGGAGAAAGATAGAGTCCTTCTCAGTTTTCATGTCAGCGAGGGCCATCTGCAACTTTTGAATTTCACTTTCTGCCTTAGCTGCGCGTTCAGACTCCGAATTGATCTTGGCTTTGAGAGAGTCATTCTCATTTGATAATTGCAACACATCAGCATGCAAATTTTGCCCTTCTTTCTCATCAGTCTTGCTTTTTCTGACATTATCTTCGGCTGCTATTTCCTCTCCCCCAAGCATATCCTGCAAAAATTTTAATCCCCTTTTTCTGCTTTCCGCATCAGATACAGCCGAATTTGCTCGCAGAGGATGCAACACATCTGGTGTTTGAGGATCTTGGTCGAGTTCTGAAGACCTTGAAGGAGAATCTTCATCCAAAACAAACACTTGGTTTGGGAAGGCTTCAGCCATAGCTTTTTGGGCATGCCGCAGCTCCCCAGTCAGATGATCATACCTTTCAGCTAAAGCACGATATGCTCGGTAGAACTCCTCCACCAACTTCATTAGCTCAGGCCTTTTCTTGTAATACATTTCAGCCCTTCTGGCAAACGAATCTGCATCTTCTTCGATGAGCTTGATCATTGCTTTAACTTTGGCATCCATATCTGTGAAATGGAAGTAATCCCAGGTTAGGAACAATGATAAGTTGATAATGTCTATCAACTTTAAGAAACTCTTCATTTTATAACTTCCAAAGCCTATTCTTTAAAGCTATCACATGATTAAATTGCTGCTATGCTTTCAGCAACTAAAATGAGAACATAAGCGTACTTAAACAGAGGACTACAAGTGCTGGCCGATTTCGATGCAAAGTGATTATAGTTAACCACGGTTGAACAAAAGGTGAAACTGCCAAATGATACTAGTAAATTTACTCAGAAAACTGCATACCTGTAAGATTCTCTTGGAGCCATTTTGAATTCTTAGGGATATGGCTGTCCCACCACCAAGAGTATTTCCGCCTCGAATCAGACTGCAGCAGTGTCGCCATGAATCCGGCAAGAAGAAGAAATGTAATTGATTTTGACCTTGCAAAAGACTGGTCCTTGCACCAAGAGAAATCCAAGTAATTGATCCAGGCCAGGATCAGTCTCTAAATTTGCTCCCACCTAATCACCAATGAGTACATACGTCAAACAGGAACATACAGATACATCTTTAAGTTTTGTCACTGCTTTAGAGCAATTGTAACAGGGAAAAAAAGTTCATACCTGTAATTTAAAAAGCTAAACAGAAATCAGAACCAATGATACTTCAACTTTGATAAGCAGACCAGAAAATCAACAAAAATCTGAAACCAAAAAAATGAAGATGATACTCAAATCAGATCTATGTTTTATTGAGGCATGTCAAGCTTCATCAATCCAAGAAAACTATATCCGTAAGGCTGCAGACTGAAATAGTTCATAAGCCCGCAGAGACAAATGTCTCTAAACCATCAAAAGCCCATTCAAGTAAAAGGTGGTCAAGTTGAAACAATTTGAGGATCACAGTACTTGATAGAAAGAGTTTAGCTATCTTCAGCTGGCACTTGATTTAAGACAGAACTACACAACACAGATCAACTCACAGTAAAGAGAGACATTTGCAAAGATTAAATCAATCCAGCAAAATAAAGCGACCATAAAGTGCGGAAATGCGTTACTGATCTATTTCACCCTTCCAACAACAAAAGATTTTAAAAAATCAGCAAAATGTTGCTGCAGAAGCCTGAAACAGCAAAAATGTGCAGACAAAGAACCCTCCAGTTCCGGCAAATCATCAAACTTCAAAATTCCAAAGATTAACACAACAAACAAAAGCAATGATCTTTTTCATTTTCCAACAAGATAAGAACTAGCAAACAAAGGCAAATCTTGTTACAGAAGCCTGAAACAACAAAATGTACAGACACAGAACCCTCCAGTACAGGCAAATCATCAAACTTTTAGAAGGCTAACAAAACAAAAACATGATATGGAACAAATGACCTACAGAAAACACCCCAACAAAATCAAAACAATAAAGATTCAAACTTTCTACCAAATCAGATTCTTACCAAAAACACAAGCAATGGAATCTAAGTGGGCAGAATCTTGATCAGCAGCTGTGAATGGAGGAGAAAAACCCACAAGCTGCTTCTGTTTCTTCTTACCCCATTTTTTCTCCCAAGCAATCATACATCCTCCAACAGTCCAACTCCTCCTCTGTCTCTTCTCTCTCTAAATAATCACTCTTCAGTAAAGGGCCATCTTCATTTTTATTCCTTGATAATATTGGTAGGTGCTGTGTCAGCCTGAGTGACAAAACTGTAAAAAGCTTGGAAATACTTTCACATGAACTTTGTCAACTTTCCCACAAAATAGAGACATACAACATGTGGATATACACATACATAGTTACATACATTCAGATACAGTACTGTGAATGGTATTAAAATCTCAAAATCAACAGAAGAAAAAAGATTATAAATTTGAAAATCTTAATTAAGGCCGTAATTCTAGTAACGGCATAAAGAAATTATGATGTCATTAATTGGGATTCTGAAAACGAACACTATTTCTTTAAGATTTTGTTGTTACTTTGTCCATACTTTATAGGGTAACACAATGTGACATTTACTTATGACCAATGGTGGACAAAAAAGGAGAGCTGAATAGGACTATTTAACCCTTTTGTTTTGCTTAAGACTGCAGTCTGCAACATTTTGCTTTCTTGGGTTCATAAAATTTGACTGGGTTTTATTTTTTTCCTTTTATTTTCTTTGTTTTTTACTTATAACAGAACCTTCCAATCTGTTCAAATCTTGTTTATATTTCAATTTTAGTCATTTTCTTGGTTGAAGTTTTGATTTTGCCAAATGGTCAATGTTCATATTCCCTGACCTATCCAATTCCTTGATTTTCTTGAAATTGATTCTCTTTTTTTGGTATGTAAGAATGAGATCTTGCTCATTAATTTGTATCATTGACCCAAGAAATGATAATTAGAATATAACCATCTCTCTTATAATAACATGTGTCATTTTGTTACATGACACTCTAGAATTAATTTTCACTCAAGGTCGTTTTAAACCATGTATAATACATTTATACACATTCAAACTAATTTGTATTCGAATCGGACCAGTAAATGTTGCTACTATTAGTTATTGGGGTTTTTTTTTATGAAGAGAGACAAATAATTATTTTCACATTTTTTGCCACCACTTAGAGAGAACAAAAATGCAAGCACATGGGAGTGAATAGTATTTTAATTGTCAAGAACTTATTGTCTATATTATCTAGCAAAAGAGAATATACCAAGTACTTCTCTCTTTGGCTTTAAGGACATGTATCAACCATCATGCATGTCTATAAAGCAACTCTTTTTCTATATTTTTTTTAATCTTCTGTTAAAAAATTGATGTTTGAAAGCTATATTGCCTTGTTTATTAAACCCTTCAATTTCAAGAAGCGTGGATATTGGCAACACATTCGTGGAAATTTCTATGGTTTTGCTTCACCATCAATAACGGTGTATGTTAATAAACTAAGACTAAAGTTGTATGGTTACTTTTAGTGTAAGAACTAATTAAAACAATACACAAAGTATCAAAACCATTCTTGTATATAGCTTTCACATATTACTACTTCCGTCCCAAAAAAATAGCCCACGTTGAGTTTTAAAATTTGAACTAAAAAAGTTAACCAAAAAAAAAAATTGTACTAAAAACAGTACAAAACTCAAAACTCAATGTAGATTTTTTTTTTGAACGGAGAGAATATTTTTTCAAAAAAAAAATAATAATAATGTAACATTCTACGTAACACAACGGATACGCTTCAATTAATCTCTTTATATATGCATGATTAACAATAGTGAATTTAGCTTTTAACATGATCAAGCAGTCAAAAGAGATTGATTACACCAAACTTTTCTCCATCCAAACGTCATGAGCTACAGAAAATTTTTTGGCTTTAAGTCTTTTAACCATACATTGAGAAAAAAGTAATTAATTGCCGCAATTGTTTGGAAATTTAGCGGTAGTAGTTGATCATTGACTTCCTGTCACAATTGTTCAATTAAATATAGAAGGGTCCATTGGCATATTTTATGGTAGACATTGATATATTTGTACCATGCATGATAGGTGTAACAAAAATCGGTGTTCGATACTATTAGTTAAACTTTAATTAAGGTTAGATTGAAAAAACAACTTGGAAGAAAAAAAAAGGAATTACTATTGTGTATCAAATTAATTGATTCATCTTATATAATTCCGCTCATCGAAAAATTAAAAAACACATTTTATATATTTTCTTGTTTTAAATAAATAGTTTATATTGAATTTTCAATTTTGGAATTATACTAAACTCAATGTGATTTTTTTTTTAAGACATAATATTAAGTTTAGTTCAGAAGTGTGTTGCCTAGCAATTATTTCGTAATGTGAGTAAATACCTTTTTCGGGATCGTGACACATGAGATTTAACGTCTCTTGTATGGCAGAAACTGTTAAAATTAGGCAAGTTTTGTCAGAGAAATTGCTTATTTTTACATAAATAAAAGAAAAGGAGAGAAACTAAAAAATTGGATTAAATCCAGAAAAGGGTTAAAGCTAGATCTTCTTCGCATGCCACCGAATTATTTAACTTCATTTTGGTACTACAAATTAATTGGATCTAATAATTGACATTTTTATTTCAATTTTTTTGCATACCCATATCGATGCATGATTGTGTCTCTCCGATGAGTGAGCTAGCTGCCAGAAACAAAAACGTCTGTAGATGATATAGTAGCAAAGACAATTTTTTTATAATAATGCTTTTCCAATTATATTTGTAAGAAGCAATTTAAATTTATTTTATAACGACTATTCCTTTCTTTTTCTTTCAGTTTGATAAATATGACTTAAATTTAGACTGAACGTGATAATTAAATATGACTTTAGAGAAATTTATCATTATCACTACTCCTCGAACAATATGCAATGTTGATTAAGAATGAAGATCTGTTAATTAGTTACTTTCGTTTCTGTTAGGTCGATTAACAATGTCTTAACTAATGTTAATTGGGATAGTCTTCTTAATCAAAAGCAAATCAATGATTAGGTACAGTGTCCTAATCTTCATGTACCTAAATAATTAATTATCCTTTGACAATTAATAGATCATAGATCATTTGGAGCGAGCAACCATATCCCATCACTTCATATGTACTTGCTACTAATTAGCTTTGTCTGAAAACAATTTGTATAAGAAAAAAAAAATTTTAATTCGTTAAATTATCAATTCACAAACCGAAGCCTTTTTTTTTTTATTTATTTAGGACAATTTCTTGTTTCCAATCTGTGTGTTTTGTACTATCTAGACACAACAAAACCCCCCAAAACGAAAACATAACACTGATCTTGTTAGCTGTTGCCAAAAATTGCATGTGCACTCTTGAAATTTCCTCTTTGCAAAATCCATTGTACATGAACAGGAACAATTTGGTTTTGTATTACAAATATGACTATTATTTTAAGTAGATCGGGTGAACTGATATTCTTAAAAGAAATGACTGTTTAATAACGAAAGATTTATAACGTGAAAGAAGTAATAAAATTTCGATACACGAATTATTTATACGAATTGCCCAATGTAAAAGACAACCTGATTGTTTGATAACAGAAATCACGACGAGCTCTGATATATGATCATGCTTGTTACCGTGTAAACTCGATTATGAATCATTTCATACGTACAGATTATAATGTGAACTCCACCAAATAAAATGTAGGGCTCCAAAAGCCATTGAAACCGTCAAACATGGTATTGGTGCATGAGGTCTTGTTTTTCGTTTTGTCAAATTTTCCGACATTTTCATGGCCCATTTGATAATAATATAATCAAGCATATATTAAGGTCCTATTGTACTCTAGAATGTTGTTGTTTAAGATAAATCTAATTCAGGGAACCTTAAGCAACGTAAACATTAGGAAATTAAAGCATCCAGGAACAAGTTGCTTTAGAGTTTTTTTTTTTCTTTTTCTTTTTTCTTTTTTCTTTTTTTGAGTTCTTCCGTTGCCCTGAGGATATGAGGATGGGTTAATTTTAATTTTCAAGCCACTCTGCCAGATATTCCAGCAAGCGATCTGGTATTTCTGGGACCATGCACATTGAAGAATTGTAACTCCAAAATTAATAAAACTTTAAAGAATTCATGGAAATACAACTTCTTTTTTTTTTTTGGGGGAGGGAGTTATTAAAATTCATCATAATGCGAGGAAAAATATTTATAGAATTTTTCTTTTACTTAAAACTGTGATATGAATTCGAAAAAAATTTTAATTGAAGGATGAAAATTAAATAATAAGACAAGTATACATAATAACTACTCCCATTATGACAAAATTACAACTGGACTGTATATAATAGACTGCATGCAGGACCATATTTATGAACCTTGGCCGCTTATAACATCTAGTCCTCGACACATCCCCCTCGCTAGCTTAAATTCAATCCTTTTCACCGTTATCTAAGTCCAAAAATAAAAATCCTAAGATCTTTTTTCCCGTTGGTTTTTCCCACACTTTTTAATTAGGGTGAGTGAAGAATCAAAGAAAGGGGTCGTTAGACTGTTAATAGTTGAAGATGCCATGAGTAGCTTATCGGTAGGACTCTAACTACGTATGTTGTTGTTGTATTTCACCCAAAAAAAAAATTCGTTAAATTTCTTTAACACGTCGTAAGGTTGAATTTGTAACTTCTTAGTGAAATCCTGAACGTTATATTTATTATGTCAATGATTTGTTCCATGTTTTAAGTAGATAATAATAATTAACAAGGTCAGTTTAACTATTCTCACACAGTTTTAGAGGACAATTTACCAGAATTATATACCTTAACAGGTTGGACGGTTGAATTAGTCAGGTATTATAAAGACCATCTAAAATTATTTATGAAAGTCAAGTCAGTTGAATCAATATAAGCACACAAACTAGCAAATTGCTTTGAGGGGCAAGTAAACAAACTTTAAAAAACTTGTTTAATTATATATATACTTGTGGAGGTCTCTATACTCTATATGAACAATTTAGGTAAGCCACTTAGTTGGCTTGTCGACATCTACCCTAAATTGTGGATTAGAATTCCTATATTTCTAATAACTGATAATAATATATATATATAATAAAAAAAATTGGTCAAAAGAATAAATATTTGTGGGCTAGTTAGTAGAATGTCCTTATGATGTTACACTTAATTTCCACCAGAAAACACTTAAGACAGTTTGGTTCAGCTTAAAAAAAAAACCAAAAACATTTTCCTCATTTTAGTCTCCATTTGCTCTAAAAGTTACATATATATGGTGATGTTGCTCCCCACCAATTTATACCATGCTTTAAATGAACTCTTTTTGTTACCCTTCCTTCACCGACAAAGCTGTACATGCGTCCTTCTATTAGGAGCTTCTCTCTCTAGAATTATTGAGGCATGGAGAAAAAAAGAGTACATGATCTGTATTCTAGATAGCCAATACATCTTCATCTTGCTATATAATTCTCCCAATGAATCAATATTAAAGTTACAACTATATTTATTGGATCAAGTGATTTGAAACTTGTTTCTCATTAAGTAAGGTTTAAAAATTCGAGTCTCGTAAGAAAAATAAACCATAATGAAATAACTTGTCCTTCGAAGTTGATTTAATCCATTTCGAATGTAGATGAAATAAACAACATTGGAAAACCAACCTAGATCTAATGGGGATGGAAAACAAATGTTGTGACACTTGTTAATCGAAATAGTTTATTTTAGGTCGAATAGAGATTAATCTGGTTTTAATGTATGTTCACTTTGAACAGATCGCGATATGATATACAAACAAAAATAAATAATATTTACTTAGATGGATAATTTCTGCCATCATTGAGATAATGCAAAGTTGGATAACTCAATTATCCATCTACATCCTTCTTCCTACCAACCAATGCAGAAAAACTCGTCCAACAAAATCTCAAAAAAAGCAAGTTAGAAACTTGTCCACAAAATCTCAAAAAAGCAAATTACAAGGAAGAAAAAGTAAGAGTAATGCAAAATGGGGCCTCACTAGGAAAAAAGAGAGGAATCCAAATGTTGGTTTTGTATTGTAGTGAAATGGCCGGCAATTGAGCCCCATGTTCTTCCTCTCTCCCTGCTGATGATTCTGAAAAAAGTTGTCAATCAATATGACATTTTTTCTTATGTCCTTTTGAGCAATCAAGTTGAAGAAATGGCTACTCATACACACTACCCTAACCCACACATCTGTGCCCTTCAATGAAAGTTGAGAACTCATGCTTGGTCCCTCTCTATTTCCTTGTTCCATATTGTGTCATATCGTGTAGCTATATTACTTGGCAACAATACCACTTCCTAGTTTAAGCTTATCAGGAAAAATGATAATGAACTTGACCCTTGCGATTTATTTGTCATTTAATTAGAGTTTTTGAAAATTATTGTATCCTTCATATCACTGCAATACTACCTAAATTTCCAAAATCTATAAATATATCACAAAAAATAAGTTAAAATATTTGTTGGGAGAGTTTTGCACTCCGAAAGGGATCTACCCAGTTTAAATTCGGATTAACCGGAATAAAGTACGACTTCGGACGAGTGCGTAATACACCAAATAAAAAATAACTCCATTGATCATATTATAAAATGTACTTATTTTCTTCTTCTTCTTCTTTTTTTTTTTTTTTTTTTTTGGATAAAGTACGACTTTAATTTTGAGACGGCAGATTGAGATATAAAATGAGAGTGTGCAGCTACTCGGTTTTAACAAGTCTAGACAAGTCTCATATATTAGATTGAGCTTATTCAACAATGAGTCTGGGCTATTGTCCTCGGTCTGTCCAATTTCCGTTTGGGCTTAACTTAAAAAGCGATAGACAGGGGTCCAAACTAGTCAAGTCTTTTTAACCGGAAAAAAAAAACCATTTTTTTTTTTTTGTAAAGTAAAAAAAAGTAGGTTAAATTTTAGGCACTTGAAGAAATGGTAATGTATTTTGCCGAATTGGCTGGCTAAATTGCTTTAGCAAGTTATATGATTTGGCTGAATTACATCATTGCGTAGAGTAGAGAATGGCTAAACCATTCCAGATAATTTGTTATAGAACTAGAGTGCGCAGTGGAATTTGGAGTTGCTTGAGAAATGTTATATTTCGTCCGTCACGATCCACTTTAGATTTCACTTTTAATTCAAATTTGTGCTAAAACTGAAAATCAAGACTTGAAAACTAATTTCGGGATGGAGGGAGTACCAAGAAGCTTTGGAGGCTTACATATTCAATGATGCATGCCCTGAAAGATATCCAATTAGTATCAGTGGCTGAAAGTTCAGAAAGCCTTGCGAAGATGCTACCGTTAATACTTGAGAGCAGAAAAAGACTGTTCTGTCTAGAGGAAGCTCAAAAAGACTTGGAACGGGGTAAGGAACTGGATTAAGATTGCAGAATGAAAGTAAAGCAAACAGAAGTTGAAACCAAAGAGAAAACACTGGACATGCGGTTGAAGGAAATCCAGATGAGGGAAATAGTCCTTCCTGGCATCAAAGAAGGTTTAGCTCATTGCGAAAGAGCATGAGCTCTTGAAGCAAAAGAATAGAAAAAAGAATCGAGCTTGACTTGATTAGGACGTTTCAGAGCACTGTGGAATGAGACCAAAAAAGTTTAAAAACATAATATTTGGTACTACGATATTAAAATGTTAATATTAGGAGCGTAAAATCAAGTAGGCACAAATGTAAGGGACCATTTGAACATTTTAATCTTTGATAAATAACACTAATGCTCTTCAAGATGCCTTGGAGGATGCCTGTTTCTTTGAGGACGGCTGTTGACATTATCATTGGCAGCATTAACAAATCCAATGATGCTGAACTAATGGTCCTGCTATGTAAGGACTTCAAATGCTCCTGCTATGTAAGGACATCTTTTTAGGTATGATGCTCTTCCCATCTTAGCATAAGCTTACAAATGTTGGAACGTCAAACTTTTTATATATCACAAATCCACAACCAAGAGGCGTTATGGTTTATAGCTCAGAAAAGTAACTAAAAATTACATAAAAGAACGAGGCTATATTACAAGAAGGTAAGCTCAGAGAGTAACTGAACTACATTATCACTACAAATACCTACAATAAAGATCATGAAGAATAAAATCCTTCAGTTTGGGCATCGGAAAGATACCTCAATGCTGAGGTGTAAGCGAAGGAAATGATGGTATAGACTGAAGAATCAACTTTCTACTGCTTCTTCGACCAGGTGAGATCCCCAAGTCACTGTGACTGTGGGGAGGAGAGACTCTCTTGCTGTTTGGAGATAAAGACTTTATCCCAGAAATTGGCGATCTATTTCCTTGAAGGATATCAGGCAGCAGTTCATCTTCTTGAACTGTCTCAAAGTGCCTGTCAAACTTGGATTGTGGTGGTAAAAACTGCGGCTTCACGAGACCTGGGATAGCATACAAACCAGACGAAGAGCCAATGGTAGGCAATGAAGAACGAGGTGGTTTTTTCTTCGAGGAAAAAGAATGACGCTGAACTAATGGTCTGCACAACACAGTAGAAAGAAGACTGAGTAATCTTGGCAATTTTCATGGTTACAAATCATATACCGAAAACTTTAATTTCTTTATTACCTTCCAAATGACAGCGGTGTTGCAGGTGGAGCAGATTCCGGGTTTTGTTCTGTTTCATTCTGGATAACAGCTTTATGTTTATTCCCATCCCTTGAACTCCTATCTTGTGCATCTATTTCATCATCTTCAAACTCTGCTTCCAGGCCCATAAATATAGAGCCTAAGCAAGAAAATAGGTAAACATTCAACATCTTTTGTGTTTTCAACGGTGATGAGTGCAATAAATATGAATTTCAGCCAAAAAGCACAACTTTCATCATTTTCAATTTTGTTTATTAAGGTTCACTTTGTCCAAATTCAAACTGAAGCAAGAAATGGTAACTCACCATCCTTTCTGCCAAATGCATTCTTACAACCTTCACACCTGCAGTTAATGGAGCATCCAACACCGCCCTACAGAAAAAGAACAACCATTTCTTTATACGAAAGAAACCAGAACAGGAGGCAAAAAACATCGAGAATAGAAAATACCTGATAGCATTCACAATATTTCTTAAGGCAACCAGATTTTTTGCAGTTACATCCCCTCTTATGCCGAGCTGAAGCAGGAGTTTTGCTAGAGTCATCCTACAGTGAAAAGCTAGTGTTACTTAGATAGTACAATTTTTTTACCTGAGCCCAAATATAATTCAGTATCCGAACCTCTGTTGCTGAATCAGCACTCCTGATAACTTTGGGAGCAAATGCTAGGGGATTACGAGACTCAATCTGTTTGCGAGTTGCTAGAACTGTATCCTCGTGAATAGGCTTATTGAAACAGTCCTGACAGGAACATGGTTCCACACAATAGACACCAGCAGCAAAACATTCACAGTAACTGCAGAGTAAAGAGAAACAATCATAATGCACAGTTTCTTACTTTAAGGGAACATTTGCAGACACATGCATGAGACTTATCATCTACATACAGAAGGCTAAAGCACTTACAGTTTCAAGCATTTGGATTTTTTACAGTTGCACCGCTTACATGCCTCAGGTTCTGCATCATTTTCCAACCTACGCCTGAAATTTTTGGTTTCTAGTGTAAGACTGATGGACCAAACAAAGAAAGGAGAATCTACAAAGGGAAGATGATTGCAAAAGTTAAGATAACATGCCTCTTCTTCTTGGGACTGTTTTGATTAAACTCATCGTAGACCACCATGGCAGATGACTGGTTAGGATCTTCAACATGGGGAAGTCCACTATCCGAAGGATCTATGTCTGGCTCCACAGTGGCCAGTGCCAAAGGTTGATGAAAAGAATCTTGATCAGCCATTGCGGAGCGGAAAGTAGCAGTTGAACCAGGTGCTATCACCAGTCTGCCAGGAATGGAAGCATCATGCTTGACAACCTTCAAGTCTTTGGGTGCAGATGCTAAAGCATTTAAGTGCAAACCAATCCCAGGTAGAATGCACCTTGACGAATCACTTGGAGTCCTTATAGAATTAGGTTGTTTGTCTACGGAAGGTGTATTTCCATCTGATTGGGTCAACGTGGGAGATACAGAAATAGAATTCTCATCTAAATGCTTCCTGCGGCCACCCACCATCTCGAAAACAAGACAGCGCCTTCTCATTCCACGGTACATGTGAGAAGCAGGCTGCACAATAAGATAAAGTAACATTAGATACCGAGGAAAGAAAATGCAAAATGCATCTCATCATCAGCAAAGTAAAGTATTGGCAGCCAACGGTTATAAATATTAGATTGGAAATTCTAAAAAGTTCTCTAATAACATGTTTACTAAAAGTGGCAACATATTCAACTCTTCAACAACAATAATAACAAATATTCTTTTGTTCAACTTCTGATTGTAAGCTATGTTATATTCATAGTGCTAAAAATACATATTTCCATGCCACAGCTATATTTTTACTTTCAGAAGGAAAGAAATTATCTTAAAACACCCAAGCCAAAACTATGAATCTGAAACATTAGATACATCCAATTATATTGTATGATCGAAAAGAAAACCTCAATGGTTGGAAAATAAAAAACAGCAAACGCTCAAAGCTAGATGCAATAGAAAGATTCTTAGCAAAGCACTGAATAGCATTCTTCACCTCACTACTTGTCTTTTGACTGAGAGTGCCTCCCAGACAATCATTTTCCTGAGAAGAACTTGCTGTCCTGTCTTGACATTCAGCAAATTCTGTAAGACAACTTCCCTCTCCAGGCTGGGTAGAAGGATTATCCATCTCATTTCCTTCACCTTGTACTATGCAACCAAATTGTTGTTGCAAACTGGTAATGCTGGTATAGTAGGCAGTGCGTGGAGTCAGGGATTTCCTATAGGTATTTGCATTGTTCGGAGAATCAAAATTTAGTAGCTCAGTTGTAATCAAGCTCTCCCAATCACATTCAGCAGCCTCTCCACTTTGATTAGTGTGGCTCATTTCCCCTACGCTTGTTTGATTCACAAATAGACTCCTTCCAGATATTGATTCTGAAAATGGAACCAGAGCTCCAGAAGCGGGATTATCTATGGTTACACATTTATCAGTTGCAGTACTCCTAGTCTTAGGGCTGGTGAGGGGACTATTGCAGTCATAATTCAAGGATTGCCCATATTCAGCAGTGAGTTCGGTGCACCGGTAAGATGACTCAACAGAAACCTGAACAATAGCATTCTCAGAACTTAAATCTTCCTGCTGCTCAGTGTTATGACCACCATCCAAAACTCCGTCATCAGTATCAACTTTGCTCACACTGTCAGAAGCAAACTCAGGTTTCGATGGATCTGAGAGTTGATGCCTGTAAGATGAACAATAAATAGAATTAAACAAATCCAGGGCTCCATATACACAATTGTAAGTTGCAAAAATTGAAGGAAAGAAGAATATTGCTAAACAGCTTACCTTCTTAGGAATCTAGACTCCTTAATGGTAGTCGCATGGGGTGAAGTGAAAACAGACGGGAGTGACGAGAAACTGAGCGCATTCAAGGTTTGAGTGATGTGAACAGATTGAACAGGTTTAATAGGAGAAAGATTGTTAAGGAAATTGAAGACAGGGGATTCCTGCAGAACACAGAAAATACTTCAGCATGTCTTTGGTAAAAGCCCAAGAGAAACTTAGGTTCACTGCAGCAATGAATGAATCTAACCAAATTGCGTAGTGTTTGCCAAATTTAAACTGAAATGTTTCAGAAATAACATCATGCAGACTAAAAAACTTCCATGGCTAAAAATAAGGTAAAATTAGCTGACCAAGCAGAAGAGGGGCGGAGAGATTTCACAACAGAAAAACATGGAAATCAATTAGCAGGACCAGGACCTCAAAAGAGCAATAACACAACCACAACGACTTAAACTGGCAGATCCGATTAATTAGTCGGCAAATGAGTAGTTTGAGGAACAGCGCAGTATATCAAATGACAAAAATCCCAAGAAACCCAAAATCAGGAAAAGTTTCATCAGATTCGTCCACTGGAAAAGCTTCAGAATCTTCAAAACTCTCCTCTTCATTTTGACAAAATCACTTGATAAACAGAAAACCTCACCCCAGGAAAAAAAAAATGAAAAAAAAAGCGAAAAATTGTGAATCAGAACACCCAAAATCGTTTGAAGGACAGAAACTTTCAGGCAGTAAAACCCTGAAAGGAAACTCCACCGACAGCCGATTTACAAGCTCGATAGCCAGAAAATCTAACCTTTTTTTCCCTAATCAAGCAAAAACCTATTTCTCAAAACCACTTAAAAGGCAACCAATTACAGCAAACTCACTGCCATTTCCCAAAACTCAGAATCTAAAAACCAATTTGATAGCAAATACGTTTCCCACAAAAAACCCAGAACAGCAAAACCCCCAAAAAAACGAGACTCAAGTCCAAAAGGATTGCGATTGGAGATGCGAAAGTCAAACCTCAAACTTCTTAGAAACTGGGGTAGCGATCTGAGTCTGAATCTTGCTCCTATCCGGCGTATCCATCACCACCAATAACTCTTTCTCCTTTCCCCCTTTTTCCTCCACTTCACTCTCTCTTTCCTTACCCTTTCCCTCATCCCCCATTTTTTCTCCCGCCTAACTCTTTAAATACAAATCCAGACAATTATCTCCTTGTCGGAAACTCAGAGCTCCTTTCTCACGATTTTTTATCAGTAATGAATGGACAACAACAACTCCTCCTCCCTCTTCAATCTATATCTCAGATTCCCAGTACTGATAAAATTTTGTCTCTCACCAGTCATAAAAAGTAAAAACACACACAGAAACCCACCCAGAAATACACGCAGTTTCCCTCGCAATATGGAAGAAAGAGACGAATTTAAGAAGAAGCGGGAAGGGCCCCGCTCTTCTTCCCCTTTTTCTCCTTTGTTGTTGTGGCTTCCTGTTTATTAGATTGATGATTTTCTCGTGCTTGCCGATAAAAGAGACCGACCCTACCGCCAACCCCACACCCACACCAAATCACACACAGTCACACAGTCACACACACAACACCCACAGCTGTGTTTTTTCATTTTTGGAGAAATTGTAAATATAATAATTTTTGCAGGGAAAAAAAAAAGAGGGAAAAAGGAGAGCAATACAAAAAAAGTAACGTACACTATGGCATTAGATTTGGGAGGGATGGATCTTTTGGATTTTTCTTTTTTCTTTTTCTTTTTTTTTTTAATTGTTATTGTTTTTTGGGTTTGACCAGAAATTTATCGCTGTTTTTGTTTTATCGTACCTTAATTTCTGTCCTTTTTTCCGTTTATCATGTTTTGTTAAGGCTTTTTTATGCAAGAAGTTAATGTTGACTTTGTCAATTAGCCAGTTAATGAAAATCCACGATATTCAGCTAAAAACTGTTTTTTTCTTCAGTCCGTCTTTTTTTATTTTGCGGTTATGAAAGTTGTTGACCACATAATGATTATTGGGTTTTTAATGAGAGAATAATATGAATATTTCCTGTTATTTTTCGTAATCTATAAATTTAATATTGCTATTTAATATTCCTGTTTATTTTTTTCAGTTTCTGAACTTTTCTTGCAGTATTTTGTTCGTAATATAATGACACATAATCTTCAAAATGTGGATGTTTTTACTACCTTTTATTGTGGAGAATTTTTCAAAATACATTGTCCGCAGTGACATAAGAGGTACGAAATTAGCATAAACAACTAATAATATTACGATGTTTTGGAAAATTTAATTAAATGACATATATTTCTAATAAGAATTTAGAGGTGTCTCTACTAATAGATTATCATTTTTTAAATAAAAAAAATTAGAAAAATAATACAGTAATTGTATAGAGAGATGTATTGCAGTCCAAAATTTCCATTTCCATCGATTGAACATTTCGGATACATTTTTTTTATTCATTTATGTATCAATTAATCCCTTAAATCGTTGACTGACGGTCGATGAATGCGCGAAACTACAAAGTGGCCTTACGTTTGTTAATTTTTAACTACTACCATTTTTTCAGTTTGGTGTATGATTGAATAAAATTTTATGTCATAAAATACTTAACATCCGGAGTAAACGGAAAGAAATTTAGAGTGATGAGCTAAGAACCACCAGCGCTCAACGACCATAAAAAACGTTATCAATGATTAATCAGCTTTTAATTATGATTTTTTAAACTTAATTACATTATTTATGAGGTAAAACCTCCACCACTCACCAAGATTTCACCCTAAAATCTCTGGCCTTCTTTCCTTCTTTATGTTTATTTTTACAGCGTTTTGCATATAACACATATGGAATATCTTTTGTGCTTAGATTGCTCTCTAGATTTTTTATTGCACTTTTTTTTTTGCGTTTCAATTGTACTAGAAATAAAATCTCAAACTGGACAATAATTTTGGGACGGAAGAAGTATATAATTTTGTAAAATTACACTAAGTTCTAGAAGGAAACCAGGAAAAAAAAATCGAACAAATGATGAAACCAATTGATTTTAAATTCGGCTTCGTTTCATTTTCGTTTTACATAAAAACTCCCTTATGAAACTATATCATAAGTTGTTTTTTCTATCAAATCTAAAACTATAATCTTGTAACTATGATGACGATTGTTATTATTTTAAGACGTGTTGTATTGTCCTACGCATACAGTCGCGATATCCAACATTATCGTCAGTTTAAAAGACGTTTTCACTACTAGTAGGAAATTATTTTATTCAATTATTTTACGTTGTAGCATATAGATATAAATATATATACATATATATAATTAATGTGCACATCATTTTTCAGAACTTAAGAGGAGCTTGGGACAATAATGTACTACTACAATCAAATAAAATACAGTACGAAATTTATTTGGCCTAGGGGGCATTCATAACTCCGTGAATAGCAATAAATAATGGAATAAACGGAGTAATTGTCACGACACCGTTGTATGATTTGTGTTGAATCGATGGTGACGTTAACTCCAATTAGTTTGCCGCGCCACCGATTTTCAAAAAAGCTGCCTTACTTACTACTCCTTCCTCCTAGGCTTTGCTACTAACTATATACTAATTGGTTAATGGTCCCTCTCCAAAGGTCATACCAACCACCATAGACCATCTCCATTTTCCGTCCTATTTTTATTCTTCAACGTACACATATCATATTTAGACTAATATCGATTTCTTTCTGTTTTTATATTTTCGACTCGAAAACTCATTCGAGAGAAATAATAGACTCTTGAATTTTGTGGATCAAATATTGTCCTAATGTAGGGTCAAAAACAAATTGCATTTTCCGACATTAAACTATAGAAAGGAGCCTTTGTTGTATAGATTGACAATTATCAGAATACACGTCCCTAACTAATGGTAATAAAAGGTTTATTATTAAAATGTTGGTAATAAGTGGTCAAGGGGGGAATAATAATGCATATGATTACAACTGTAATTTTATAATCCTATTTGCAGCAGATCAACCGTTTTGTTTCAGTCTTCTTGTCCAGGTGACAGCTTATTGGATTTTACCAGTTGTCACTTCCTAGTCTCTAGATTTTCGTGTAAAGGTTCATATAATAATGCAAATCATAATCTATGTTTATATGCTTTATATAGGCCTTAATACGTGACTGATTACGTGCATATACTCTATTATTGTCATGGACTAATTGTTATGTCCGTTACACTGAATTACATCTACCGTCTCAGAAAGATAATCAACATTATTGAACTAAATCATCACAGTATAATGAATTATATTTATGAGAAATATGGTGTGGTAACAAACAAAATGATTATTTTTTTGACATTATGGTTAGCCACAAATTATCGATTACTTAGCTAAGTCATCATTCATGTATAAATTGTCTAATGTCGTTGTAATGGATTGATAGGTACCGTGAATGTTTTATTAAACTTTAGCTACCGAAACAACGATGAGTAACTATACATATAATAGTAATACACATCTTTTATTTTAAATAGGTTACGAATTCAAGTTATACAACGAGCTATTGAATTATTTAGTTAACAGGTTCATGAAATTTCCTAGTTGACTGAACCATATGACCCCAATCAACTAATCCAAATGACCACATATACTGACTGACAATAGCAGAACTAGAAATTCCAAATACAAGAGGCAAAATGACATTTTCTCCAAATAACAAGGGTGAATTAATTTTATTTTTTTTTAAAGTAAAACTTAAAAATTTAACCCTTCCTTGCACTTAAACCCAAATGTAGATAATCTATTACAGTTGATCACTACTATGTTCAAATGTTGATTGGTGCATTATTTTTTCTTTCGGTTCAGGACACAATTAGGCAACCTTTAATCTTGCAGGTTAAATTACATTAGTTTTCCTTATAATAAAACAACTCCAATTGAAAATGTGGAACTTCAAATAGCCATTAACTAAAAAGAACTAATTGGTTGAATGCAATTTGTGGTCAATGGTATTCCCTCATTAAAATGCCTCTTTTAAAATTCCCCTTACATGATGAGCTTTCAATTTTCAATAGTAAATTTCTGATTTACAGTATTGCATTTTTTTTTTCTAATACTCACTCTGTCCTAAAATTATTGTCCAATTTAGATTTTCACCTGTAGTACAATTTAAACTAAAAATGAAAACTCAAACTAAATAATAATTATGGGACGGAGTGAGTATTATCCTTTCCATTTCAGCAATAAATGTAAGATGAGCCAAGCTGCCAAACGAAAGTTAATGCCCGAGGGGAACGATGAGGAGGGGAAATTTGTTGAGGAAAAACTATTAACCTACATTGTTGGCAGGATTATAGAGGATATTTTCTGTCACCAAAGATCATTCAGAAGTTACCAGTCGCATACAGTAAATTTAATTGTGAAATTACATTTCACATCCAATTTATTTTCTTTCTCATATACTGGTTCAAACGTGATTGTGTCAATATAAAAACTTTCACAAGGGAGTAAATTTAATTGTTTACCTACATTTCACATCCAAATTATTTTCTTTCCCATGATGGTTCAAAAGTGATTATCCCAAAATAAAGATGGTACCCTCATTTCAGATGAAGGGAGTGCCATTTACATATTTTCTCAATTACTTGAGCGCTGAAAAGGGAAAAAAAAAAAAAAGAGGAGATGAACTGGAGCATTCTTTTGTTTGTTCGTTTGTTAAATTCCATTTTTTGCTCAGAATTTGTGTGTTGTTCGAATTTATTGTGCATGGAGCTTACCCAGAAGACAATGAAAATTTTAAAGAATAGAGAATTTTTAGGTTTTGGCTTCTTCCTGCAGCTTCCATGCCCATGCCCAAAATTTAATGTTACTGTACGTCCAATTTTTAATGATTTGTTGCGCCACAAATTTTTACATTCTCATCTTCACATTCATTCTACCCTTTTTTTTTTTTGAAAAAAACATAAATAAATGAGGAGACAAAGTCCAACAGATATATTACAAAAAAA